GCTGTGCTCCGGGAGGCCCTTGCAGCGCGCGCAATCGCGGTGGGGCGGGAAGAAGTCGCCGGGAGATCCACAGCCCGGGTGCGCGATGAAGAGGATTGCGCGCGGTGGAGAGCTCGGGATTTGCCACACCAGCTCCACGCCTTCGAGTAGCTCGTGAGTTGGAGCGCTGCTCGCCCAGTGATCTTGGCGACTGTGGCTACTGCTGCTGCTCGTGAAGATCACCACTGGTGGCGGGGATGGCGTTCGCTCTTCTTCCATTTGCTTCTCGATCTGGCGATACAAACCAAAAAATAGTTTTTTTTTTCCGATTGATTGATCACTGGATTGAGCTCTCGGTTTAGAGACTTACCGTATCATCGAATCACTCAAGCTCTACGTGGCTAGCTTCGGCGCGAGAGAAGGTGAGCGTTATGCTTCCATCTGCAAAAGAAAAGATTTTTCAATCTTTGAAGAGTTTTCAATCTGTGCTTCGATCTGCAAAACAAGAGAGTTTTCAATCGATCAGAGCGTTTTAGGATTTTGACTTCTAGATCACTCACCAGCTATCATGGATCGTTCTAGAGCCTCTCAAAATCACTTACGCAGTGAGAATTCTCAGTAGCATTCTTGTTTGCTCTATGCGCAGGCATTTTAGAGGTTAGATAAGATCTAATGAATCTAGCAAAATATCTTCTCGCCAGGAAAATCTTCCTCTTCATAGATCACGTCTTGATAGATCACAGGGACTTCTTCTTCACTGGAAGAACAATGGAACCTACTGGAGTCTGGAATCCAATAGCCGGATCTCAGCCGTCAGCTTTGCCACGCGTCGGCCATCCCTGCAGGGCTTCACGTGGGCGCGCACCAATCGCAAGTGTGGGCCAATGGCAGCTTGCCACGTTGGTGCTGCCTGGGCCGGGTGGGACAGGCCCACGTGATAATCACGAGGGAGGGGACCGCGACATCGCACCACGTGGACACTTCCACTACACCGGTTTGGTGGGCTATGACATGAGTGACGTGGACGGATATTTTTTCCCCTTTACATCCCCTGTACGGACACACGATCCCCTTGCCAAATTTGACTATAGCGTGTACGGAAGGGAGGATCCCGCGGATATTTTCAGATTTCTGGTTCGTTCGAGTGGAAAGAGGGACCCTCTCTATGATCAAGGAAGCGGTTGCTCGAAAGCTCTTTTTTCCTTAGCTTTTTCCTTTTTCCTTGTCAATGGCACGAGTTTTTCTTTTCCTCTTAGAACAGTAAGCTTGTTTCTCTTTATGAAACATTTGAAGATCACAGTCTCGATCAGTGGCGAGTGTCCTGTCAACGCACTAGAAAGCCGGACTGCTTAGAAAGCTTCACGGCATGGCTGGTAGGCCACCACCTCTCGATCAATCTGTCAATCGATCCAGGCCGTTCGTTCGTTGGTTCTTTCGATTCTGCTATCTGCTTGAAAAAGAAAAAAATTCCACCGAAACTTTCACGCACCTCGTCACTTTCTGGAACGAGAAGGCGCTGCCGCGGCTGCTGATTTCGCTGGAGCAGCGGGAGTTTTGGAGATGGACACCCTGGTAGCAGCGGGGGTTTTGGAGATTGACGCCCGGGTAGCAGCGGGAGCTGCTGCAGCTGCCGGAGATGGCACCGTCGCATCAGCTGGCGGCTTTGGTTTCTTTGGCTTGGTTTTTTTCTTCTTGTTCTTGGCCTCTTGCCCCGCGCGGTACTTCCGGTTCAGATCGTCGACTTTGGCACGTACTTCGTCTTCCTTTCGTTGCTTCTGGAATTGGAACAAAACAGCTTGGAGAAACTTCTTTACGAGAACAAAGCCAATTACCTCTTGTAGCTCAGCCACAGGTTTCCAGACATTAGCTCCTTCGGAACACCTCTTGTGCCTAGAAAACAAAAGCTTAAGAACCAGTAAAACGAAAAGCAAGAAGAGAAACACAAGCAGAAAAGAAAAAACAAAAACAACGAGCTTACTGCTCAAGCTGCGTTTCCAGAGGACACTGATATCCACACTTGTATTGGACCCACAGGCGACCACTGTCTTTGTCCCCTTTAACTTTGTACCTGATGGTGCAAGCAAGCAAAAAAAATGTCTAGGACCTCTTTTTGCATGGACGAAACTAGCGAGGTGGATTTTTTACTTGACACCAAGAACTGTTGCTTGGATTCCAAGAGCAGTAGTGATAAGTTCATTAGCCTGCATTGACGAATGAATCAAATGTATGTGACTCTTAACTCACGAAGGGAATCGAGAAAAAAGGAGGAAAGGGAGACATTTGATACATACCCGGACAACGCCAAACGGTAGAAGATCATCAATGTCAGTGTAAAACGCGGGTGCTTTCTTCTTCTTTCTTTTGCCTTTCTTTTTCGGAGGCATGCTCAAGCGTGCCCACCTTCAAAGACCTACTCAGCAAAGGAAATAAAGATCCATTCATCCATCCATGACGAAAGAGAGGGATAATCCGCGCTTGCTTACCCGATCTGGATCCTGGAAGCGCCGCATTGACCCTAAGCGCTCCCCACGATCTTGGCAGACTTCCGAAAATCTCCCGAATTGCGGCGGCGGCGGCGGCAGCGACAGCGGCAATGGCAGCGGCTTGGCGATCGCTGGCAACGCGAAGCTCGTGGCACTGATCCTCGTCGCAATGCCGATTCCAAGCTGAGCAAAATCCATAGCCTCCTAAACCCTCCATTCTACTCATCGCCCTCAAGCGATGCCATCGCATGGGGCGCGTAATTGAAAAGGCTGGACATTCCAGGCGGGCCCCTGGAACATTCTGGGCGGGAATGAGCTAGTCAACTTTTAGGGTTCTCTGACCGCGATGGAATGCAACCAAATAAGCGTTCTAGGGTTTATGTTCTTCGATGGACAGCGCCATCCCCTCGACGATCGCGGCAGCGGTGGAGGCAGCGGCAGGGATAGCATCATCAGCTGCGCTTGCGGCGCGAGCCAATCCAGGTCACTCTCATTCGGGATTCGGGTGCTTCCCTGCCGCTCCCCAGAATTTTGCCTTCTATCCTTGCTATCTTCCACCTTACTACTATCCATCCAATGCTCAAGGAATCTCTACACACACCCAGCATTCTCATGCTTGTCCAGCGTTTCCTCCAAACTTTCAAGATCACTCCACTGCTCAGGAGCATCACGAAGGGTATCTTACTTCTTTTCCTGCGTCTAGATTGATTTGATCTCTCGAGTTTTTGCTTGGCTTGAAGGGTGGAGGACTGGAATCACGCTGAAGAACTGGAAGAAGATGTGGAGGAGGAAGAACCTCAGTTTGTGCTCTCGGACGAGTGGGCGGAGTTTTTTGCTCGATCTGAAGCGAGACGGAAAGAAAGTAAGTTTGTTCTAGCAAAAACGAAGATCTAAGATCGTTTTTTCTTTCTTTCCAGGGAAGGAGCTGCAAAAGAAGAATGCCAAGGCTGCTCAACTCGCTGCCAAGCTACAAGCAAAACTAGAAAAAATGAGCAATCCAAATGGAGCTCCAGCTCCAGAAATTTGATTGATAGAACTTTGTTTTGCATGAACCCTAATTTGCTAGGGGAAAAGAAATGGAGGACAGTGCGTCTATGGAGGCCGATCCAAGGCCTGGAATGGAGCTTCGATCAACATCGGCTGATGGCGAAGCTGGTACGCGTTTGATTTTGATTTGTGTGGATCATCTGACCGTTTCGCGTGCGCCATAGGATAATCGTCTTTGCTCTTCTTCTTCTCTCTCTTGCTCTTCAATGGTAAGCTCACGTATGCTCCCTGTTTATCAGGTGCAGCTAAGCATCGCAAGAGGAAGAGATTGGCACAGTCACGGAGGAAGGCGCAGAGAGATTCTTCTTCCGATGGGAGAAATTCTTGCGGCGACCTTGAGAGCTTCCAAGGCGATCTCCAAACGTAAGTGGTTCTTTTTCTTTCTTTCCTGGATTTCTACTTTGGCTTCTCATCTTCTTTTTCTTCTTCTTCACGCAGTTATGTCGACGCAGTGTGTAAGCATCTAAACGAGACGAAGTTCTTCGTGGTCGGGATGGCAGTGGAAATGCTGGGGATGAAGATGGTGAACGATCTTGTCAAAGAGGCAAAGCTTTTTCCTTTACTTCTTCTCTTTTCTGGACAGAGTTTGTGGCTCGAGCGACTAACTGGGCTTTCGTTCTTCTCTTCAGGTAGACGAGATTGAGAAAAATGGTGGCCAAATGACTCAGGATGGCTCACGAAGGCGTACACCCGGTGGTGTGCTGCTAAATCTGCTCAAGCTGCGGCTAGAGCCGGAGCTATACAAGACGATCGTCTCCAGCTCAAGAGTAAGCTCATCTCCTAGAAACGTTTCTAGAGTTTCTGAGTAAGTTCCAATTGCAGAAGAAAGCAGTGGAATTTGCAAAACGCAGGAGGGAAATGGACAAGAACGATCCTAGCGAAGGGCGGCGGAAGCGCAGCAAAGTGTGCGAAGCGGAGACGGGAAGCGGTGAGAAGGAGGAAGGTGAATTGGACGAAAACGAAGGCGGCGAAAGGGGTGAAGTATTTGATCTTGACGCTGTGAAAGACGAAGATGGGGAACAACTTCCCAGTTTTCCAGCTCCCGAAGGAAGGGACACTGTAAGTTACGGTGATTTGTTCTAGTCTTTCATCCTACTGCGCATTAAAGATTAAACAGGATCAAAGAGCGATAAACTAAGAAGAAAAAACCAAAACAAAAACAAGAAAAAAAAAATTAAAAGAAAACAGAATTCCCTCAAATAGCACGCGCCTTCAGGAGTGTAAGTTTTGTAAGAATATATGTGAAGACCAAATAAAATAAAATAAAATAAATAAAGCTTGAAGAAAGGTCTCTAGAAATTTGAGAGATGTTAGATTTCCAAGTAATCCAGATTTGCAACCAAGACTTGCTGGAGAGCAGTTTGGTGGTAGAACAGGAGGAGAATGGGGGTTCTTGGAAGTTCCTCAAGAAGATTCAACGACGTCTCCTGCAAAAAAATGTCAGGGAAAACAATAAAAATAAGAAAAGAAGTGCGTTCTTGATGCTCTAGAGCTGTAGACGTCAATGCTCTTATGGCTGAGTATTTGGCAGCGTCTGTAACTTCGATGAGCAGGAAATTGTTTTCTCTTCAGCGTTTAGTTGAGCGCCTAGAGCAATTGAGCGATTGTTCTTGGAGGGGATATGCAAAATAAGAATTTCCAATGGGCAGCAGACATCCTTGGCATGATTTCCTGCTTCGAGTCTTATGGCATGGAGGCTCCACATTCGATGCCTGGTTAAACATTTCATCGGTCAAGGTTCGGAATCTCCGTTTCTTTCCCATTGTATATTGCTCGACTGATATAATTTGATGATTCGTAGATGGCTTCACGGCTACTCACGATGCCACAATCAACTGCACAAATGGGGCTACCCTCTGCCATTGCTTATCAACTGTTTCAGGGAGGAATGGGAGCGTGGGTTCAACATGTAATCGGCATTCTGTTTTTGAAATACAGATTGCACCATCAGTCAGGTGCTTCAGACAGGACCAGGTTTACAACAACGACACAGGTAGAATCAGTGGCCACTGATATTGTTCTACTTATTCTCTTATTTGTTTTCCAGCTTCATGAAGTCATTGGTGGGCACCTCGGCCCTCGATGGAGAGCAGTCTCCTTTGTCTTAAACATTGTCTGTGTCTTCTATGTATGCTCTCTCCAGCTTGTTGCTTGCAGCAAGTAAGATTTATTATCATTCTGAAACACTGATTAGGAAGTTTGTTCTTGTGCAGTATTGTCTACAACCTCAACAGAACATTGGACAAAAGGACTTGGACGTCTGTGTTTACTGCGGTTTTCTCTCTGACAATCTTTATTCCAAATGCTCACAACTATAGGATCTGGTCTTTCCTTGGCGTCATTACAACCACTTACGTTGCTGCATATTTGGTAGTAGCGACTCTAGCTCATGAAAAGGCAAGAAATACATTGATTTCAACAATATAATCAGTGGAATTGTAGGTTGCAGGTGTAAAATACACAACGCCTCACAGCTACGAGGAGTATTTCACTGGTCTCTCCGGCTTGACAATCCTTGGACATGTTGTTGTCCCTGTGTAAGAGATTTTTCTTGATCTACTTGCTAGATTTTCTTAATTAATTTCGGGGTAATGGCAGAGAAATTATGGATGCAATGTGGAAGCCTCAAGAGTTTTCGATGGCCAATGCCTATTCGGTGATCTACATTCTCTTGGTCACCATGATTCCAAGCATCAGTATGAACCGCAGATTTGGGGACATCCTCCTCAAGCACCCCAATGCCCTGTCTTTGCTTCCGAGTTCCAAGTTCCGTGATACCGCCATAATTCTCTTGCTGGTGCACCTGGTACGACCGTTCAGTATGTCCATATATGGTCTTGCAATTTACCACAGAATCTGCAGTTTATCAACTTTGGAATGTACTCCCTTGCCGTGTATGCAATGTGGGAGAAGCTACTGCGTGTGCACGACTCACCGAGCTATGGCAAGAAGATATTATCCAGAGTCCCAGTATTCCTAGCCTTCTGGCTGACCGCTTTGGCATTTCCGTTCTTTGGGATCATCAGCAAAATTTTGGACGCCACTTTCATTATATGGAACTTCTATGTGATTCCTTGCGCAGCTTACAACCTGGTGTTCTGGTCACGTACTGTGCAGCAACAGTCGAAGTCACTCTCAACTTTTGGCTGGGTGACAGATTTCAGTTTGAATCTTGGGGTCATACTGTGGGTTGTTATTGTGGAATGCGGGCTGGCACTATGGGGTGATATGGTTAGCCTTCTCAGCCTAAAAGACGACTTGCGCTTATTTGCGAAGTGCTACAACTGCTGAGTTGAACCAACATGGTGAACAGTCGACTCAGAACCATCTTTCAGCAGCTTCCACTAACACGCCGTTTCAAAGTTTCTGGGCCCCCTTCCGAGTGAAATGACTTGAAATAAGAATCACTACCGTTCAACAATGCGCGTCCAACATAGGCCAAGCCTTGGCATCGTCGCCAGTTAGTCAATGTTTCGAATTACTTTAAAAATGTGAAGAACCGGCTCGAGAACCTGTAGTCGAAGCGACGAGAAAGACTTTGACTACCTTCGTAAGACAGGTCGAGATGACAGTGACAGCTACCAAATTTCCAATGCCGTAGTCATCACGGATCAGGCTTTTATATAATCGGTTCTTCTTCACCCACCTGATCTTTCTATGCCTGTATCATGGAAGTGTTTCTACTGCTGCTGGTTGTGATCACTTTCGGCTTCTTCCTGCGGGCGAGGAACATGAATAACATTCTGCCTCCAGGCCCACTGGCTATACCATTTGTCGGGCATCTGCACTTGCTGTTAAAAGGCCACCCTCATGTCGTGCTGAAAGCTCTTGCGGAGAAGTATGGTCCAGTTCTGTTTCTGCGATTTGGTGTGGTTCCGGTTGTGGTGGTCTCGAGTAGCCAGTCGGCAGTGGAGTTCCTCAAGGTGCAAGATAAAGTTTTCACGTCGAGGCCACGGTTCTTATCAGCTGGTCGGTTGCTGCTTGGCTTCGACGGGGAAGATATGGTGTTTGCTCCATATGGTATGCGCTGGAAGCAGCTCCGTAGACTTTGCACAACCAAGCTTTTCACGGCCAGGAACTTCGCAGATGTGAGGATGAGTGAGGTGAGGAGCCTGGTGAGAGCAATTCAGGCGTTTGGTGAAGCGTCTCCAAACTCGGCATTGGATCTTCGCACCAAGTTCAAGCATCTGACCTTCAATATCATCACAAGAATGCTTATGAGCAAGCGCTATTTTGAAGGTGATACTACTGATGCTAAAGAAGCAGAAGAGTTTATATACCTTATGGAGGAGTCGTTCAGCTTGGCCGGTGCATTTCCCGTCAGTGACTATTTACCATACAGCTTCGTCAAGTGGTTGAATATGAACCAAGATGACCGGATCAAGACTCTGTCTGTTAGAAGCCGTCAATTTGTGGACAAGATTATCACGGAACACGAGCTCAGATCGCCAACATGTTCGGATGACTTTCTTGGGTTGCTGCTGAAGCTCAGGAGCACCGAGGATGTTCTTCAACGGAACACTATCAGGGGCTTGATGATCGTAAGTCGTATATAGCTGTTATTCATCTGGTTTTAAACTTGGTCAGTGTTTAACAGAACTTGCTTCAAGCTGCAACTGATACCTCATCCGTGTCGCTGGAATGGACTTTGGCCGAGCTTATAAATCATCCAGCCTGCATGTCCATGGTCCAGGATGAGATTGCTAGTGTCGTTGGCTCCAACAGAATGGTGGAAGAGAGGGACATTAGCAAGCTTCCCTATCTGCAAGCGATTGTTAAAGAATCACTCAGACTCCATCCACCAGGACCTTTGCTCTTACCTCGAGAATGCTCCAAAACTTGCGAAGTGATGGGATACAAAATCCCGGAAGCTACTACGTTAATGGTGAATGCATACGCAATTGGAAGAGACCCGAAAGTTTGGAAGGAGCCCCTTAAGTTCAAACCTGAGAGGTTCTTGGATTACAGCTGCTTTGATGTTGGTGGCAACAATTTGGACGTTATTCCATTTGGAGCAGGAAGCAGAGCCTGTCCTGGAATATCTATAGCGTTCTCCATACTTCACTTGGCGCTGGCCAACTTGGTACATGCTTTTCACTGGACACTGCCTGCTGAAGTGGTGCATGTTGACACAAGCAGCGAGAAGTATGGACTCACTGTGACCTTAGCAAAGAAGCTGGAAGCCATCCCTCTCTGCAAAATTGATACAATTGTCTGTGGGACTGAGTAAGAAAACATGAGCATCATTGGACTCAATATTCTGTTATAACACAATTCATAAAATACAAATACAATATTAATTGCTAATATGAATTCGCATTCTCTGGCTGACCCAAAATTTTGGATTCATGAACTCTGTGTGAATCCATAGTCCATGAGTTGTGCCCAGCTCCTTGTCAATGTGCAAGTTGAAAGTTCTGAAGTCCTTAACTATGGTGGACAAAGGAGGTAGCCAGCTTTTGGACATAAAGTTTGTGAGTGATTGTTTTTGAAGAAACCTGAGCCTTGAAAGTTTCAATCAACATTCTGTGTTTGATTTTAGTTTGCGTGGATCTGACCGTTTCACATGTGCTATAGATAATAATTTTGTTCTTTCTTCTCTCTCTTACTCTTCAATGGTTTAAATGTAACTAAGGGAACAAATGCACAATCCAACACTCCTCTCTCTTAAGTGGTTACCCCCTTGCCACTCCTTGCTCCTTCCATGGCTTAGTGCTTTGCATCATGCTCAATTATACTTAGCATAAGTGAAATGCTTAACAACTAACTTTAGGATTGTAGCATATATGGTTTTCACTTTTTACCTTATGATGTTATAATTATGAAATGGAACTTTAACCTTTCATATGCTGTCATGTGTTTAAGGATAGTGGAGAACTTAAGTTTCAAGACCTTGAGCCACTGAACGAAAGGATAGAGTTAAACTCCTAATCATAGAGTATAAAAGTGAAAGAAGTAAAACACAGAATGATTCTTGAATATATAACCCAAGGAGCAAAATGACAAGGGCTACTAAATATAAAATGATGTTAGATTGTGAATTTGGACACGAGAATAATACTATCGTGTTCAGAACAATCCCTACATTTTGTAAATATACTAAATTAACAGATTTAGACACTTTTCATAAATAGCCATTAGGACCAAATGAAACAAACACATATGAAGCATGATAGTGAGAGTGTCTTGGTAGACATAATAAATTATCACTTAGTAAGTATTGAGGGACTAAATTTAATATTGCAAGGGTTCCCAACATTAACAAGTGCAAACCAATAAATGAATTTCTTTAATTATGTCAAGTTTGTTTGACTAATAGCATTTAAGAATTCCATCTCTATACTTATCTAACCAAGTGCACACACAAAGACCAATTTCTCAACTAACTTAAGTAGAGATTGAAAAAGGGTCTAGTAATATTAACCTCCTACCATCATAGCAGTAAAGAAAGAATATTTGAAAGGACTCATTGGTAGATACTTGCAATCATATTTGCAACAATGATGCATGGTTGTAATTTATAAATATATAATCTAAGGTTTTTATTTATTGTGTTTTATATTTTTTCTTTTATTCATTCTCTTTAGTATTATCTTAGTCATATTAAGCTATATAAATAGAATAAAAAGTACATATTTTATACTTTTAAATACTAAATAATTGAAAGTAATATACTAAAACATATCCTAAGTCATTAAGTTGATTTACAAGGAATGCAACTCCAAATAAGTAAAGAGGCCACCCTTAATAAAAGGGGGTGTTGAATTGTGCATTTGACCCTTGCTCTATTATAAACAAAATAAAGTTCATTATGGTTAAAATGGTAGTGGAGAATGAAAGAAGCTAGCATTTTTTCACCTTTTCTCTTTTTTGAATAAAAGGGGCTATACAAAATTTTTCTTCTCTTTAGCTTGATAAAATTGAGAGAAATGATAGCTAAATAATATAATATGGTTCATAAAAGCATATTGTAGTATATGTGGTTTTCAATAAAATAACCACAAAGTGGAACTTAACCCTTAAGTACATGTGCCAAGGGCAATGGAGCAAGACTTGAGCTTTAGTGCCTTAGGCCACTAAACGAAGGGATAGAGCCAAGCTCTCGAGCATGTAACTAAAGAACAAAAAAACTAGAGTGCAGAGCAACTTTTGAGTATACAACTAAGGAACAAAAACACAAATTGACATTAGAATAGTTTTAGAATATCTAACATCCCAATGTTAAAACCAACATATAAAATGGAGCCAAATAAAGTTTAATGTTATTTAATATACGTGAGGATATAGGTACTCTACTAGCTAGCATGGTATAGATTGTGGGTTTAAACCCAAATTGGATATAAAACAAAAATAAATACACTTAACAAGGAGGTAGACAATGTTTTAGATTGGTTAGCTATACTAAACCTACCCACTATCTCTACTATACATTTAAAACCCATTTACTCATATAAATGCACACTTTGGGTCTAGGAATTAGACTTTAGGACAATCATGAAAGCTTATTAAATATGGAATGATGTTAGATTTTAAATCTAAATGTGAGAGCATATATAAATGTAGACAATCTCTACATTATATAGATATGCCTTACTAGCAGATTTAGACACTTTCTATAAATAATCAATAGGACCAAATAAGATTAACATATAGAGCATGACAGCAAGATGGAAATGGTAAGCTATCATATAGTGATATTGAGAGATTAATCTCAATACACAAGGGTTTTTGTCACTAAACAATGCAAAACACAATAAGACAGGAACTCCTAACTAATCTAAGTATGCTTAATTAATAATATTTAGAAATTCTATCCTTATGTTTGTCTAATAGTTAACTCCATTAGCACAATAAAAATTGATAAAGTGTTTAATAATACCAATCTCTTGTTGTTATAGCAATAATAAAAGAATATCTAAAAGGACTTGTTGGCAAGTAACTTTCAATACCTACAATCACATTTATGACATATATAGCCAATAGAATTTTGATAAATTTGCTCAAATTGGACGAAACAATTGTATTTAGGTCAAGGGCAAGCTGATTTTCTACAAAAGTTTCTAGAGATTTTGAACATGAAGTGGATATAGAAAGTGGTGAAGGTGAATTGGACAAAAATGAAGGTGGTCAAAAGGGTGAAGTATTTGACATTTCTTGAAGTAAAATGTATACTACTTACTTCATAATGTTTGAGCTCCATGGATTAATGTTATAGATAGATAGAGTACTTTTAAAGTACGTGTTGTAACACACAAATGGAATATATTGGTACAGGTTTTATTAATTTCTAAAGTTTAAAGTGATATGAGCTTCTCCATGCACCAAGTGGATGTCACTAGCTTTTGAATAAAGTGCATAAGTTTAGCTATATAGTGGCACATTATTTATGCTTGTTAATTTTTACAGATGCTAAAATTGATCACCATTGTTCTAATCTCTTTTGATGCACTCGAAGACCAATTGATCATGTCCAATTTGCCGATAAAACATGTATGTTTAAGTAAACTAAATGATCCATCTTTGTGCTAAAATGATTATCTAAAAATGCTATATAATTTAGTTTTGAAAGTTCTTACAAGTTCTTTCTTTAATAAATAATAGGTATGTTTGTAAAAAATGTTTCTCCATAGCTCTAGAAACCAAAACTCTCAATAAAAATTTAATAATATTTTTACTTATGAAGCTATGGAACCCAACAAAAATCCATCCCAATGTAGGTGTCTTGAAGGGTTTTGTGAAAAATTCAATATAAAGCATATGCTAAATATTGTTACATGCCTAGATATCTTGAAAAATTCCACCCTTAAATATAAATAAAGAATATTGTGTGAGAAAAATCATGAGACTTATTATCTCAAGGCCTTTGAAAGATGGGAGAGATACTTTGCCAATCTTGCCTCTCAAAATTTTCCTATTTATTTAGCTGGATAAAGTTTGTTGTATGGCTTTGCCCAAGAGTGCAAACTAAAAACATCCAAACTCAATTTATTGCATGTGTATTAATTTTTTAATTGTTTAATTGTTTAATTGTTTAACTTATTAATTAAATTTCTGATTATGCTTTCTATTAACCAATATATCCATTTAATTTTTGTCTCTTCCATGGGATGGTATTACTCATTGCAATTCTTCTCTAACTTGGCAATGCAATGTTGGAGGGCAACATCCTAGTAATGGTCTGCCAAATGCAAATCACACTTGATGCATTAAGTGAATTTTGTGATGCCATTAGCATGGAAGTTAATCTCACCAAGATGCAATTAGTGTTGGGACAAGTGCAAGATAGGATATCTATTATTGTGGTATTGCACTTTAGATAGTGGACAATTACAAATATTTGGGTATTTTCTTCTCATATTGTGATGGCCTTTGCACTCTAATCAAATGGTGCCGATGCTCTTGTCACAAATTAAAGTGCAAAGTAGCAATTCTTTATAGACAAGGTATCCATAGTTACTTTGTGTGTTGCAAAGGTCATGACTCTAGGAATCTTTAGGATCAAGTAGAGGAACTCTAATACCATTTCATTTATATGGACTTCCATACAAGGGATTTGTTATACCTGATTGTCCTACTTGAGTCCAGTCTATGGCCCTTGGAGCTACTCACAAGGAAACAATTAACTATATAAACCTAGTGTCTGCTTTACATTCTGCAAATAAAGCTCTAGATATCAGCCATTGATGACTCCATCAACCTTATGTTCGAATAGGATGGAGGTTGGTGGGTAGAACTCAAGAGATGGACAACCAAGCTTGACTTTGACCTTGAGTTGGTACTTGAGGATCTGTTTGACTGGTGAATGTTACAGGCTTTGGAGAATTGATTATTGATAGGAATAGTTGGGGCAATCAAGTATATCATTTACTACAAAACAATCAATCCACTAGGCATGAATTTGCATGTTTACCTCATGCCCCACCATGAACTCATTACAAACTTGCCACTTATAGCTGTGGTAATCACCATCTCGATATTGAGATGGGCTTATGAGTCAGATCTAGCATCCCTTACCACTTTTGTCTCTGTCAAGTTTGTAGTTTTACACAGGTTGAGGATGTTTTCTATGTTATATATGACTATGGGGCATATGACCACCTCCACAAGCACTTAGTGAGATAAGGATCTTCCAGTTCTCCTCTCTAATATTGACATTGTCACCGAATTTATGAGGTATCTTTGCAAATGGAAGAAACTAGAGAGCTACTCTTGGAAGTTAAAGCAATGCTAATTCAAGGGAGTGAGTAGGTACATAGGTGACTCCATTTGTTTTCACCCTAATTCTTATATGATCATGTTTTTTGGATCCACATCTCTTTCTTACCTGCCAACCCTGGTTTGAGGCAAAGGCTTTTATCCTTTAAAGGCTTGGGTTCAAATCCAATTCACTGTGGTAGAGGCATAAGCATCTATGTACTTATACTTTTTTCTTTTCTTTTTTGCTTATGTATACTTCATTTTGAAGAATTAGTAACTGTCAGATTGGATTTAATCTAGACACTAGTTTTCTATATTTTAGCAACTTTGTTACTATAATTATAATAAGCATTATTAACCTAAGAGTAAAAAGCTTAAATATTGTACTTTCATAAATAATTTACTCTGTAATATAATTTCCTTTTTCAATTGGTATTTAGAATATTTTTTATCAGTTAATCCAAGATAACCTAATGTTGTCACACTTATTATGAAGCAAAGCTTAAGAGTAGAAAATCACTACTATCAAATTAAAGAATATTGTAGAATATGCTTGACTTCTATGCATATTCCTTACACCTCTTCAGGTTTTCTAAAACAAACAAAAAATCCACTTTTTAAAGATTTCTAAAATTGATGCTTTGCATAAACTTAAACTCATCATGAATGTTTTTTTAATACTCTAAAAAATATATTAGAAATTACTAATTATTGAGCTCAAATCATGGCTCACAAAAATACGTTTTAAAAAAAAAAACCACAATGCCTTGCTAAACCTATAAGACATTCAATTTTTTTAGCATATATAACATTAACAATGTATAGGTATGTTCGTTAAGCCATAGCATTTTATAAAGTTACTAAACTCTCAAGTATAAGTTACACTTTTTTTTATGCTTTTATTATTTTTCTCTGATTTCTATGTATGCCACGGTAGCTAAGTTGCCATGCTATAGTGGTTGTGAGCTTGGAATAAAAAAAATAAGGATAAGGTATATTTTTTTCCTTAAAAACTTTTATAAGTGAACTTTTTATTTTGATTTTGCTACTGGATGATGGATATAGTTCATAAAACCATACAATCTCTAGAATTTACATTTTTCTCCAAAAAAATTAGAAATTAACTATTCAAGTCCCATACTTCTCCATGTACAAGTGGACTACAAACACAATCTTATATTTGGTCAGACCATGTGCAAAGTGGAGCACTAATGCAATGCCATTAAAATAAGATAAAGGTTACTATAATTTATTTATTTTTGTTCTAAGAAGTGAATTGTCTTTATTTTTGAATTAATCTTGGGATTCCTAAGGTTTTTCATGGAAAATCCAAGCCTTTTCCTTTTTCCCCATCATCTGTCATTTATTAATTAAGCACTTATTTGTCTTATGTTTGAAGTAAGGCCCTTCATTCTTAGCCTATTCCAAGGTTGTTGTTAAACATTTAACTAGACTCTTCATCCTAAGTCCTTAATACTTTCCAAACATGTTGAAGGCTTAGACCATTTACTAACTTTTCTTAGTGGCTACATGTCACTAAATTTATGCCCCCAAACCAATGGGAAAGTATATAATAACATCATTATAAGTATAATTGATGTCTTTCTGTGCATCAAGTAGTGGTAGATTAAAATTTATACTCTTCTTCATTATTTAAGAAACCAAGCCACTAAATAGTGCCACTTGATTTTAATGGGTAGAAAAGAATGCACTTGTGGCCATAAAGAAGGACAACTAACACTTTATTCACCTGTAGTTTTGCACCATGTGAAAAATTCGTTCATTTATATATTGTTTAGATAGTTAGATACTCACAACACCACCCTTCATGATGGGTTAAAAAAATGTATAAGTAGCTTGAGTCAAGGTAAAGACCAGACTCAACTATTTATAAAGGTCATAAGGGCTTACATAAGCTCCAAATTATAATTCTAAACTTAGGTCAAATACTTTTTCGGCTATGGAAAAGTTGAAAATGGTATACAAGGCTCTAATGTGGTCTTATAAAACACCCCTTTATCATGCTTTGGAAAACAAGATAGTGAGGTAGAATGGTGTTATAGATGCATATAATAAAGGATATGTACTATGTCAGCTGTCTACAAATAATACATATTTTTGGAGGGTCTTGCAATGCCCACCTAGAGGTATGAGACCACTTACCATGGTAGTTTGCAGCCACTATGATCTTTTGGCTTCTCCAGGTAAAATCTCTCACTCCATCAAAATGCTGAAATTTTCATGAAAATCTTCAGGTTTCCAAATGGTTCCACGATCATGGCATGGAAATATAACATGGTATGCACTGCTGGAAAGCCCATGGCAAGCAGATTCTGCTGGTATGATATAGGAAGCATAGGGATATGGAATTCTAGAACTTAATGCCACCATCTCCAAAAGGTTTGGTTAGGCTTGAGATCACAATCTGCATGAAGACCATCTCTTCCACAATGCTAGACTTGCTTAATCGAGACAACAAGATCATGATGTTCACTTCTTTTTTAACATGGATTGCTAAAGCATATAGCATGATGCCTGGATGAGATGCTAGTTTTTTATGACAAGCACACCTCTCTTTCAGGTAGATCAAATCGGTGTTTGAGAGTATACGACTATACAACAATCTCCATAAGGAAAACTTACTGAAATGCTGGTTGGGCAATTGGTCCTCCTTATCTCAGAAATTTTACTCCAACATCACATTTTTTTATAACGATAAACCCTGATTACAAACTAATTAAAGGCGAATATCATTCTGGAAAACACATTTGCTAAGCTGGCCAATTTCCTATTTCAATTCCGTTTCCTGGGCACAAGAAAGGTGAACAAACCAATTTTAATTGTTTCCTTACGTACCCTCCGGATCATAGAAAAAAGCTTGTTTGATCTTCCCGTCTTGCTGCGTCTTTTCGAAGATCTCGATACCCCTGTCCTGTTACGACAAAAATCTTAGTGGATCGTAAAACCAAGAAGAAAAGAAAACCTTTATAAGCTGGACTGCGGCATTGTAATTTTCGACACGAAATGCTAAGTGATCGCTTTTGGGAAGCACACTTGGATCTTTCCTGTGTAGCAAATCGAGGTAGGAAAAGCTAGGAGCAAAAGGAAAAAAGAAAAAGTTCTTCTACCTCGAGCTTGTAGAGCGCTTGGATTCACGACCGATCAAATGCAGCGAATGCGACGGTGGCAGCGACATCCAAATCACGGTCATGGCGCCAAAATTCGGAGTCTCCAACCGATTGAACCCTAGAACCTGCGAGCGAGACAATCCCCCAAATCTGAGCTGAAATCCCATAATCCAGGCAGTGAATTCGATCGCCCACCTCTTGGTAGAAGAGCGCCATGGCGTGTGGATCATCCGCCTCCCTCGCGATGTGCTGCAAGCAAACCCCTGCTATTGGCGCCATTTTAATTTTGATTTTTCTTGACCTAAGCGTTGTGGAATTTTAAAAAGGAGATTTACGGGACACGCGGCAAAGTGCATGCCAAGTTACCATCACAGCTGTCATTGAGTCAGTGACACTTTTTTGTTTCAAAATTTTCTTCTTATCATAGTTCGTGTTTGTAATGTTCGATCGCAAGATCAAACGAGATAAAGTGTTTGTAAACGGTTAAAACGTGAGCTGACAGCACCTCAATTATTTCCCAGCAAATAGTATATGAATGGATATCATGATTTTGTGCTGATAATAGTCGAGATTGTCAAGCACACCTTCTGTATCAAAGAGAAAAGCTTTGTTATTTCCAACCATGAAATCTATCACCCCATCGTGCTTGGTGTATTAAACTTAAACTATACACACGAGTGCCTTACCCTACGTTTGCTTGAAACTAAACCATCCGGAGCCACGTATTCGGCATTTTGGATTTACGGGCGGGATTCGAACACGTGACTGGCCGTTTAAGAAAAAACCAATTTTCTTTTCCCCTTTATACAATGTTGTGTGGTGCAAGAAATGCGTTACAGGTCTCTCCAACTTCAACGCCCAGGAGAGAAAAAACAAAAAATCTAGAATAGAAACAGGGAAGCCGGGGAAAGATCGCCAATCGCGGGGCGATTTTAATGGCCGCGACGCTGCGCGCTTAAATCCGCGCTGCTGGAGCTGAATTTTCTTCCCGGGAAATCTCTCACGAGCGGCGACAAAGAAGCTCTCGCGCAAAATCTTCCAAAGTTCCTGATTGGCGCGGGGTCTCTTTAATTCTTTCTGATCGCTTGCTTGCTTGCTTTGATTGCCTCAATCTCTTCTCTGGCAGCAGCACTAGCAGTCGTAGCTCTCCACCGAGTTAAAAAGAAATATAATAAAGCCCCTTACCCGCATTCTAGAAAAGGAGAGGGCGAGGCCCAACTTTGTCGACCAAGTCCAAAGCCCAGCCACCTTTGTGAAACGTCCGCGGCGGCCTTCTTCAATTTTTGTTATCTCGCAGGCGAGGACGCGACGAGACGACGAGAGAGGTAGGGAGGCCTCTGACCGCTTACAAAACTCCCAAATCTAGGAACGCTTGCGCCACAAGTTAACAAGGATTTGATAAGAAAGCATGGGGAAAGAAAAAGAAAAAGCTTTCCCGACCTCTGACGCCTTCTTTTCTTCGTCGTCTTCTTCCTCGCTCGTCTTGTCTTGCTGCTCGAATTCTTCTTGCTAAGTTCCTCTTCTTCCTCTTCTTCTTCCCTCCTGGAGCTCTAAAAGATCGGAGACCGATGCGGTGTGCTCTTCCTCCTGCTGGAGCAATGCGGGATGATGACCGACTTTGGCGAGCACTGCCCTGGATATCGATTGCTGCGAATCCGCTTCGGTGGTGGGATCATCATCACCGAGGTGACGATGTGATCGTCGCACTGTGCCTCGTTCTTGTTCCCGCTGCAGCCTGACGATGCCTGCGACTGGCAATCGTCCGAGTTTGGCGACAATTCGTCGTCGAGTTCCAGTTTGTCCACCTTGAGTGTTTCATCTTCCGGAGAGGAACTGAATCCGCCATCTGTCGATGAAGAGGAGGCCACCCGACGAGGTACAAGAGAATCTAACTCCACTTGGTTGTTACCCACGGCATCAACCTGTCAAACCAGAAGAAAAGTTTAAATGGAAGACGCATGAAAATCAAAAGGTGGTCAATCAATCAATCACTCACTAACTCACCTTGCAGGCAATTGAGCAGTATCGGTATGACTCTTGCAAGCTCCTCTCGCAAGTGTCGCAAGAATTCGAAAGTCCTTTGGAGGGCCTTGGCTGAGGCCTTTGATTCAGGAACACTACTCTCGCGCTGTTGATAATGTATGTCTGATCAAAGAAAAAAACATCCATCCCATCGCAGTGTTAGAGCCAAAAATTGGGGTTTTGGAAGGATTGGCTAAAATCCTAATCGGGTTCTTACCTGGACTTGCGAGCAATCCACCAGTTTTTGCATGTCGTGGAGCCGGATCACATCGTGATACACATATCTCCGGACCTGCGCAAGCGAAATTCACGATGAGAGGGCGATTCCGGCGAGAATCGCGAGAATTGGAGCACAATTCTCGCAAGGACTGCGGGATTTCAATCACCTGGACGAGCCGATGGCCGCTGTGACTGCTCAGGCAGTGCTGGCAAATGCTGCCATTGCAATCCACGCAGAAGATATTCCGCTCGTTCTTTTTCACTGTCGCGTGCGTCGAGCAGCAGCCGAAGAATTTCTCGCTCAGCAATGCCTCGAGCCAGACGGGCTTCCGAGGCGCCGATTCCAGCGCGTAGCCCACCTGCGACGAGAAAGCACACGAAATTGGGAGAATTCAGCGCCCGGAATCCAAGAAATGTCGATCTTTGCCAGCAAGAACAGCGCGAGCAGGCAATTCGATGGGAGATCACGAACCATAGCGATGCTGGCAGTGGAAAATCCCCCCTAGAACCGGAAGATCGATCTTGCTAGTGGAAAGAACACCTAAACGCTCCTCCAGAGAAGAGGAAGCACAGTATCAAAGAATGCAAGCAACAGCTAGGACCCCTCCAAATGTATATAAAGGAGAGACCGCGAATTATCCCAGCCGTCGGCAGTATCATCCAACGACAGTGAGCCGCTCGCGTGCGGCGCCGAGAGGGGATCTGGGCCGTCGATACAGATCGGACGGCGGAGACTCCAAACGATCGCGATGGTTGGAGCGGGAAGGACGGACGGCTGCCGATGGCCCAGCGCACTGACACGTGAAAAGAGGCGGGAGAATTCAAAACCGTCCGATTCCGATCGGACGGCCAGGAGGGACGGCCGGCGGATCGTGGCCGTGGGTTTGGCGGTGATGGGACGTCGACCCAGCGGCGCCGGAAAGCGTACGGAGTGATGGTCAGTGGCCCATTCGGGAGTCGTGGGCCCATTGGCGCGCAATTTGGTGTGTGGTGTGTGGCTTTAAATTCGTCGCTTCGTTCCAAAGCGTTGTTTGCTCCATGGATTTCAATGATCTCTTTGGCATTCCCACTTGGATGTTGGAATTGTGAATCCTGACCATGCTAGCTAGCAAACTTTAAGGGGAAAAAGAAAAGTAAAAGTACCACAAATATATAAAGATTTTATCCCGCAAAAGATTTTACAGAATTTCAAAGGTGTTTTTTTATTTGAATTTTGGCGCGAAGTTTAACCTCACGGCCTTCATGTGATTGTACGGTAGCCGGCCTAGGATGTCTTGTCGCTTGATCAAAAGATTTTTGGATTGATTTTCAAGGTCAAAATTTCGCATATTCGCGTGGCGGTGATGGCTATTGCTTTAAGCTCCGTCGGCGCTGGCGCCGTGCGGCGCTGCGAGGATTCCCACTGCGGCGCGCATGGAATTCGATCGAGAAATGGAGCGCGGGTGAGCTGTGCGGTTGGCAAGGTCAGATTTCTTGCCCTAGGTGCTGCGTCGATCGATCAGCTTGAAGGTGGGAATTCAAGTGCCAAAGCTGATGGAGGATTGGGGACGAAGGAGCTGCTAGCTTGTCCGATTTGTTTCGATGCGTTGCTGCGCAAGGGTCCGCCAGGAATCAATCAGTAAGTTCCGGGTAGATTTTGATATCGTGGTTAAAGATTTTGTGGCCAGGTTCGCGATAGCAAAGTCTGGATTTCAATGCTCTACGTGCAAGCGATCGTTTTCGTCTAGAAATGAGTATCTGGATTTAACTGTCACGTCTGGTGCCAAGGACTATGTGGAAGTTCCTCCGACTGGCACTGAGCTTTTCAGGTTTGTTCGTAGAATTTGGATTATGAAAAAAAAAAAGCTAACGTGAAGTTTGGCGTAGAAATCCTCTGGTTTCTTTGATTTATGAGCGGGGCTGGCGACAAAACTTCGAAAGGAGTGGGTTCCCTGGTCCAGATGAAGAGGTTTGGGAAATTATTATACTTGAGAGTGAAGAATGTGTGATGTGTTTCAGCTTAAAATGGCCTTGGAGTATCTTCGACCAGCCTTTGGAGGTGTCATAGTTGATGTGAGCTGTGGGAGTGGTCTTTTCACTCGACGATTGGCAAAATGTGGCTCGTTTGCAGCGGTAATCGCATTAGACTTCTCCGAGAGCATGCTACGGCAATGCGCTGAGTTCGTCAAACAGGACAAATCTCTGAGAACAGCGTACGATTCGAACCACCTGTGGTCTGTCATTCTCTTTGGAAAAATAATTCGTGATTCTTCGTTTTTCTGTGTCGGCAGAGATATCGCCTTGGTTCGAGCGGATGTTATTCGTCTTCCTTTTGCGTCTGGAACCGTTTCTGCTATTCATGCTGGTGCTGCATTGCATTGTTGGCCGTCTCCTTCATCTGCAGTGAGTTTTTAACCGGTAAACACATTTCCTTTGTAAAAGACGTGAAAAATTTCAGGTGGCGGAGATATGTCGAGTTCTGAAACCGGGCGGAGTTTTTGTAGCGACAACGTTCTTGTCGAACTCAATCTTTCCTTTCCTACCTGTAAGTAACGCATAAAGTTCGAAATTCTGGCTTACCTTGACTGCCCGCAGCAACGGAGATCATCGAGTTTGAGATACTGGACCGAAAAAGAACTCGAAGAACTGTGCAAGCTGTGTGGACTAGTCGACTACCAGAAGAAGATCAAAGGAAACTTTATTATGCTCACAGCTCGAAAACAATAAAGTTATTTGGTAAGGCTCGCTTTACGCTGTAGAACAAACCCTGCGTTCCGTCCATTGCAGCTGAAGAAGATGTCAGTTAGCATTGCTAATGGCTTCCGTTACGCTTGAGAGCAAAAAACCGGCCATTGATATTGATGCATTGAAGGAGGCACAGATTAGTCTTGCGGCCGAGCTGCGATCGTGCAGCACTGTCAAGGACTTGACGAGAGCGAAGAAAATTCACCAGGCCATTCTCCGGAACAATCAGCACAGGAAGGACAGGTACCTCAACAATCTGGTCATTGAAACTTACGGCAAGTGTGGGAGCTTGGCCGAAGCGTGCCATGCCTTCGACAGTCCGTTTTGCTCCCCCAACGTTTTCAGCTGGACCATCATGGTCACCGCGTTTGCAGAGAATGGAAAGCTCGAGGAGGCCAAGCGTGCGTTTGACTCAATGCCCGAGAAGAACATCGTGTCATGGAACTCTATCATCGCAGCATTTGCCCGTGAGGGGCGTCTGGAAGTAGCAAAGGGGATGTTTGAAGCGATGCCGGTTCATGACTTGGTTTCGTGGAACTCAATGGTGACGGCCTTTTCAAGAGCAAGGAAGCTTGATTCGACTCGGCTTTTATTCGATTCAATGCCAGAGTGGGATGTGGTGGCTTGTACCGGAATGCTTCATGCATTTGGCGAGGCCGGGGATTTTGCAAATGCGCAGAGGTTGTTTGAAGGAATGGCCGAGTGGAACGCTGCCTCTTGCAATGCTGTTATAGCCGGGCTAACTTCAAATGGGAAGCTGGAGGAGGCTAGAAAAGTTTTTGATACGATGATGTCCGAGGTGGTGGACAATGATCCTCAAAGAGAAACTTTGCTTCCGGAGAGGAACTTGGTCACCTGGAACTCGATGATGGCTGCTTATTCTCAAGCTGGGAAGCTCGAAGAGGCCAAAGTTTTGTTTGATCGGATGCGGTCGAGGAACATCGTCTCGTGGAACTCCATTCTACAGGCTTATGCCCAAGCCGGGTGTATCGAGGAACTGGAACAGGTGTTTGAGCTTATGCCCGAGAGAAACGTCGTCAGCTTTACGTGTCTGCTTCAAGCTTACGCCGACAATGGTGGCCTTCTCCTTCAAGCGAAGAGGCTCTTCGATCGCATGCCGGACAGGAACGTAGTGTCGTGGACGACCATGTTTCAAGCCTATACTCAAAACGGGCATCTCGAGCAGGCGAAGCTGATCTTCAACGCCATGCCAGAACGCAGTGTTGTGTCATGGAACTCTATGGTGGCAACCGAGTGTGCAAGTGGTCATCCGGCAAAAGCCAAGGGAGTGTTTGATGCTATGCCGGAGTGGGACGCTGTGACTTTCACGCTGATGGTTGCGACGTATGCTCACTTCGGGCATGGAGGAGAAGCCATGGGTCTCGTCTGGACAATGAACCTCGAAGGCATGGAACCGGACGAGATAGCTTTCACCAGTATCCTCACCGGCTGCAACCACGGTGGTCTCGTCGAAGAGAGCTTGCTGGTCTTTGTGCTTCTAACTGGAGATCATGGAGTCCCGGCTCGTTTGGAACACTTCAGCTGCGTGATCGATCTCCTCGCGCGAAGTGGTCAGATTGAGAAGGCAAAGGAGCTCGTCCTCTCGTCGTCAGAACTTGAATCGACGTCCGCGTGGGGTGCTATACTAAACGCTTGCAAGATTCACAGGAACTTGAGCCAGGCAAGCTATGCTTCGGACAAGCTCGCCAAGCTGGAACCGAGATGCTCGTCACCTCATGTTCTGCTAGCAAGCGTGATGGGCTCTACGTGAGGGAGCAGCACTGAAAACGGGGTTTTTGAAATCACAGTTGCGATCGGTGACGCAAGCGGTCAGTGCGAGTATCCATAGCTGATTATAAACAGACTCCGCAGTCTTGAAGGAGCTCTCGGAAGGTCAGAATGCTTTCGGCAGCACGTCAAGTCGAAGAGCAAGAGCAGGCGGCGGTGCCTCTGCTGGGTTCCAAGAAAGGAGCAGGGTATCCAGGTTGCCCCGGCTGCAAGGCTGCGCATCTCCGAAGGAAAAATGCGCCGGTGCCATACAAGCTACTTGGCTTTCTGGGAGTTGTTACCCTCGCCAACTGTAAGTCGTTGGTAGATGCCCTCTTTTTTCTAGTCTCCCAATCTTGTTTCTGCAGGTCTGCCAATCTCGGTTCTGTACCCGTTTGTGTATTTCATGGTAGTGTCTCGAGATGTTACGTTGCTTGTTTTTATTCGCTTTAATGACAGGTGAAAGACTTTCACGTCGCGAAATCGGATGAAGACATTGGATATTATGCTGGCTGGCTTGGTGAGCGTGACGCTTCTCTAGATCACTCACTAGTTTTCTTTCCAGGCTCGTCGTTTATGGCTGGAAGAGCTGTGACTGGACTTTTCTGGGGGAGGATTGCAGACAAGTATGGTCGAAAGTCTGCTATGTATCTTGGTATTACTTCAGTGTATGTATATCTATTGCCTCTCGAGTTCATGATTAATCCTGATTGCGTGTGTGTTTTTTTTCTTGTAGATTGGTGTTCAACACCCTGTTCGGAATGAGTACTAATTTCGCAATGGCTCTGGTGACCCGTTTTATCCTTGGGAGCTTCAACGGGATTCTCGGAGTGGTGAAAGCTTATGCTTCTGAGATTTGCAGTGAGGAGCATCAGGCAGTTAGTATGTCAACGGTGAGACTTTAAGGTTTGCATTTACTCTGTCAACTAGAACGATATTCAGGTTGGGACCACCTGGGGATTGGGATTGATTGTTGGCCCATCGCTGGGGGGATTCTTAGCTCAGGTTAGTGGAATTTGTTACCAAGAAGCTAGGCTTATTTTTTGTTCTTTGTTTTTCCAGCCAGCTGAGAAGTTTCCAAACTTTTTCACAAGGGGAAGCATTTTTGCAAGGTAATGATTAGAAATTTAATAAGTTGGCACGACATTGTTGTTGATTCTTTTTCTCAGATTTCCATATCTCCTACAGGCACTTTGCGTTTCCGCTTTTGCTCTAGTTGCGCTTTTTGTGATCCCTGCGCTTCCGGTAAGCTAGCAATTGCGATCAACGTTGTTGTCAATAACCATTCCATAGGAAACGTTGCACAAACACCACAACACAGTGAAGGACGAGGAGTCATCGGTTGAGAGAAGCGAGGAGGAAGACCAGTCCATTTGGACAAATTGGCCTCTGATGGCGTCCACAGTTGTCTACTGCCTGTGGTCTCTTCATAACATTGCTACGCCGAGGTATGCAACACTGTTTGATTTTCTAGTGAAACATCCTGTGTTTACAGATTTTTTCGCTATGGTCTGTCAGCCCACGGGCAGACGGCGGCCTTGGGTTCACAAGTTCTGATGTTGGTGCAGTACTAGGAGTATCTGGTGAGTCACAGGATTTCTAGTGTTGCTAATCACGAATACTAAATGCTTGTAGGATTCGCCATGCTTGTGACACAGACTTTGCTGTTTCCGGTCGTTGCTAGATTGATTGGTGCAATCAGATCTTGTCGCTATGCAGCAGTAAGTTTCTCTTCTGTTTTTTTTTTCTTTCTTAAACGCAACAAACGTGTGTTTTGCCAGCTTATTACTGTTCCACTGCTAATTTCGTACCCTTTCTTCAATAAAATTCACAACAGTACCTGGACACATATAATAGTTTTCTCGGCTTCCATTTTGAAATTCGTCCTCTCGGTAAGATCCTGTAATCTTATGGATTTAAGTGATTTGGAGCTGTACAGGTCGCAGCATTCACCGGTTCTTTCATGCTCACTAACAACACAGTGGTACGCAATTCATGAACCGGTTTTTCTTCCTCTGAATCTTTCTTTTACGTTGTTTTGCAGAAGCAACGCCAGAGGGGCGCTGCTAACGGATTTTCCGTGAGCGTCGTTTCGGTTTTTAAAGCAATAGGACCAGCAGCCGGAGGCATTGTGTAAGTCTTTCTTGAAGTGTTTTAGGCGGTAATGTTTTCGAGTGATTGAATTATGACAGTTTTGCGTGGGCTCAAACGAGACAAGACGCGTGGTTTCTACCTGGTGCGTTAAGCTACCTTGCATTTGTCCTGTTTTGTTGATTCGAGAAGCTTAGTTTTGTTTCAGGCGACCATTTGGTGTTTTTCTTCCTCATCGTGTTCGCGTTTCTCACATTTATCTGTACGTTCGAGCCGTTCTTGCCTCGATCCGCAGATAAACTTATGGAAGAAGACACTTGATATCCTCATTGGCAATATCGATTCTCATGTTTAAAACAAGACTCTGCACAGACTCGCGTAGAGAAAACAATGTCATGATACATGACTCCTCAGAAGCGGTCGAAAAAGAAGATATGAAGCAAGGGAAGTGCGTTGATTGCGGAGAGAGATGGAGTCGAGGTTTGCCCGACTCGGAAGAGCAAACAGCCAGCGAAGGGAAAGGCGTCCGTGGATTGTTTGCGCGAGACTGCCGATGGAGCGATGCTCCGTTTCGACATGGAGGAGGTTGACGACAACCATTGGCCGTTTCCTTCAGCCCCTGTGAGTCTTTAAGCTGGAAACACATTTCCTTTTGTACAAAACGTGAAATGTTTCAGGTGGCAAGGCGGAGTTTTTGTAGCGACAACGTTCTTGTCGAGCTCAATCTTGTCTTTCCTACCTGTAAGCAAGTAACCCATAAAGTTAAAAATTCTGGCTTGCAGCAACGGAGATCATCGAGCTTGAGATAATCGACGTCCGCGTGGGGTGCTATACTAAACGCTTGCAAGATTCACAGGAACTTGAGCGAGGCAAGCTATGCTTTGGACAAGCTCGCCTTTGCTGGAACCCACCTCATGTTCTGCTAGCAAGCGGGATGGGCTCTACATGAGTCATTTCGAAGAGAGCTGGTTTTACGGACTGAAAACGGGAATCAGTGTTGTGATAGGTGACGCAACCGGTAAGTAGCTTCCAAGTTATTTCATTGCTTGTCTATAGCTGACTATAAATACAGCTCTGCTGTCATGTTTGTAGGAGTTCAGAAGGGGAGGATGACTTCGGCTGCACGTCAAGCCGAAGTGCAAGAGCAGGTGGTGCCGCTGCTGGTTTCCAAGGATGGAGGAGGCCATCCAGATTGCCCCGGCTGCAAGGCTGCGCATCTCCAACGGCAAAATGCGCCGGTGCCATACAAGCTGCTGGGCTTTCTGGGAATTGTTATCCTCGGCAACTGTAAGTGGCTGAGGTAGATGCCCTCTTTTTTCCTAGTCTCTCAATTTTGTTTCTGCAGGTCTGCCAATCTCGGTTTTGTACCCGTTTGTGTATTTCATGGTAGTGTCTCGAGATGTTACTGTGCTTGTTTTCATTCTCTTTATGACAGGTGAAAGACTTTCACGTCGCGAAATCGGATGAAGACATTGGATATTATGCTGGCTGGCTTGGTGAGCGTGACGCTTCTCTAGATCATTTCCGTTTGCTCACTAGTTTTGTTTCCAGGCTCTTCGTTTATGGCTGGAAGAGCTGTGACTGGACTTGTCTGGGGGAGGATTGCAGACAAGTATGGTCGAAAGTCTGCTATGTATCTTGGCATCACTTCAGTGTATGTATATCTATTGCCTCTCGAGTTCGTGATCAATCCTGATTGTGTGTTTGTGTGTTTTTTCTTGTAGACTGGTGTTCAACACCCTCTTCGGATTGAGTACTAATTTCGCAATGGCTCTGGCAACCCGTTTTATTCTTGGGAGCTTCAATGGGGTTCTCGGAGTGGTGAAAGCTTATGCTTCTGAGATTTGCAGCGAGGAGCATCAGGCTGTTGGTATGTCGACGGTGAGGCTTTTAAGTTTGCATTTACACTCTGTCAACCAAAACGAGAGTTCGTTCAGGTTGGGACCGCTTGGGGATTGGGATTGATTATTGGCCCATCGTTGGGGGGATTCTTGGCTCAGGTTTATGGAATTTATTGCCAAGAATCTGCGCTTACATTTTGTTTTTTTTTGGTCATTTCAGCCAGCTGAGAAATTTCCGAATGTCTTCACAAAGGGCAGCATTTTTGCAAGGTAATGATGATCATTTGGCGCAGAATTCTTTTTGATTTTTTTTCTCTCAGATTTCCATATCTCCTGCAAGCACTTTGCGTTTCCGCTATTGCTGTAGTTGCGCTTTTTGTGATCCCTGCGCTTCCGGTAAGCTCGCAATTGCGATGAGCATTGTTGTCAATAACCATTCCATAGGAAACGTTGCACAAACATCACAACACGGTGAAGGACGAGGAGTCCTCAGTTGATAAGTCACAAGAGGAGGACCAGTCCATTTGGACAAACTGGCCTTTGATGGCGTCCACAGCTGTCTACTGCTTCTGGTCTCTTCATGATATTGCTTATACAGAGGTATGCAACCCGGTTTTATTTTTCTAGTGACTCAACCTGTTTGTTTTACAGACTTTCTCGCTATGGTCTGTCAGCCCACGCGCATACGGCGGCCTTGGGTTCACAAGCTCTAATGTTGGTGCAGTTCTAGGAGTGTCTGGTGAGTCTCTTACGATTTCTAGTGGTACTAATCACAAAATACTTGATACTTGTAGGATTCGCCATGCTTGTGGCGCAGTCTTTGTTGTTTCCTGTTGTTGCTAGATTGATTGGAGCAATCCGATCTTGTCGCTATGCAGCAGTAAGTTTCCGTTCTTATTTCTTTCTTTGTTCTTTCTAAACGCAAGTGTTTTGCCAGCTTATTACTATTCCGCTGCTAGTTTTGTACCCTTTCTTCAATAAAATTCACAACAGTACCTGGACACATTTAATAGTTTTCTCGGCTTCGATTATGAAATACGTCCTCACGGTAAGATATTGTAATCTTGATTGTCGAATGAAGTTGAGAGATTTGGAGCTGTACAGGTCGCAGCAATGACCGGCTCTTTCATGCTCATTAACAATACGGTGGTACGCTATTCACGAACCAGTTTTTCTTCCTCTAGTAACTCTACGTGCTGCTGTTGTTTTACAGAAGCAACGCCAAAGGGGCGCTGCTAATGGATTCTCCGTGAGCGTCGTTTCAGTTTTTAAAGCAATAGGACCAGCAGCCGGAGGGATTGTGTAAGTTTTTCTCGAACTTTTCAGGCAAACCAGTGGTAATGTTAACGAGTGACTGAATGGTGGCAGTTTTGCGTGGGCTCAAACGAGACAAGACGCGTGGTTTCTACCTGGTTCGTTAAGCTTTTCCTTGCATTTGTCTAGTTTTGTTGATTCGAGAAGCTTTCAGGTGACCATTTGGTGTTTTTCTTCCTCAACGTGTTCGCGTTCCTCACAGTAATCTCTACGTTCGAGCCGTTCTTGCCTCGATCCGCAGACAAACTTATGGAGGAAGACATTTGAGAAGCACATTGCACCTTCTGTGGACTCTAATCGATTCTCCCTTAAAGACAAAAGCGAGCATGACTTTGCAGAATGACCAAAAACACAGAAGCGCGGAAGTCAAAAGCTTCTTGTTGTATATGATTAATTTTTTTCCTCATATAAATGAATAAGCAATCAATGATTGTGCAAGGAAATTTGGTGAGAATGCATACAAGGTTGCTTCTTTGGTTTGTTTTCCAAGCACTGCTTTTTACTATTTATGTGAAAGCGCAAATTATTGAGGTAGTATTTCTAAATTCTGTTTCAAGATGTTTTTTATTTTAATATGTCTTTGGCTTTGGAATTTTTAGCTTCATTCACCTGTACAGAAAACCCACAACAACTCAACAAAATTTGAGGTTTAAAGGATAAACTTTTGAGATAGATTGCCTCTAAAATGTATATTAAACAGCAAGCAGGTGTTACAGCTGAGGGAAAATTCTTGGGTGCCAAGGCTACACTGAATGTATGGCTGCCAGTGGTAGAAGGTTCCAAAGAATACAGTGCATCTTTCATCTCTCTCTTCTCAAACAACAATACTAAAGTCATAGAAGCTGGAGTGCATGTAAGCATTCTTTTCTTCTTATACTTATTGTTATTAGTTTGACAATCTGATTTTTGTTCCAGGTGTATCCAGCACTTTACAAAGAAGTGAATCAAAGCCTTAGAATTTTCACATACTGGACTGTGAGTGAGTCAAGAGACTCTTCGTGAAGAGAGCTAATTTCAAATCCACACAGGTTGATGGATTCCACAAAACTGGCTGCTACAATCAGGAGTGCAAGGGTTTTGTGAAGACCAACAAACAAGTGACACTGGGTGCTTCTTTGCCACCACCATTTTCCTCAATAAATGGAGATCAATATATAGTGGACGTGTCCATTGCCAAGGTAACAAAACCTGTTTTACAGTTTCAAAGCTACCAACTAGCTTACATTTTTTTTTTCTCAGGAAAAAAAAAGTGGGAAATGGTGGCTCACATTTGCAGATATTGTGATAGGTTACTGGCCTGCTGACATGCTGGAAGACTTTGCAAGTGTGGTCCAGTGGGGTGGAGAAGTGATGAACACTAGGCCTTCAAACAGACACACCAGAACACAAATGGGAAGTGGAAACTTTGCAGAGTCTGGGGCTTCCTGGGCCAGTTCCATCATTGATCTTAAAGTTCTAACTCAATTCAACCACAGTGTGGAGCCTGCTAAGCTTTCCACTTATGCTACACATCCAGAGTGTTACAATTCTCTCCTGACTGAAGGAGGAGTGTTCTATGGAGGACCAGGATTAAGTGCCTTCTGCAAGTAGCTTTCTTTAGAGAAAAGCAGAATAAGTAGAAAGCTTTTGATCTTGGTGGCAAAAACTTTATCAACCAAATTTCCCCTCTTCCTTGTCTTTGAATCATTTCATTTCGTTGCTTCGACTTCTTGTCTTGATTCCCGCAGGAAAACGGAGTCCAGGACTATTGCAAAGCGAAAGATCACTTGATCCAGATCTGTCTGCCAGAAAGACTCCACGAACACTGCTGGAAGCTGATTACACCATCCGAAGTTCTACTGCATTACCGAACTTGCCTCTATAGTCCTGGCCTTGGCGTGTCCAGCCAACTCGACGGCTCGGACGGAGAGAATTGTCGTGTTTCGGGGAACTCAAAAGATTGCCCTTGCCACTACTCATTTCCAGAAAAACGGCACCCTTCACTTCATTGTGGCCACCTGAAGTTGATATGAAGTCATCCAGCGGGTGAGAAAGTTTCAGCAGTGTTGACTATATAGGTTACCTGGTGCAAGTAGACAACTTAAGATTTCCTTTCTTGAGCTGGAAAAATTGGAGCTATAAATTTCGCAGTTGACCAAGTACAGAATTATTCTGAAAGAGACATTGTCAGAAGAAAGCCAGGAACTCATTTCCTTGCTTGCCTAGTCAATGGTCATCTGTGCTCCGCTTGAGTACATATCATCTGGAATATCCCGTTCTAGGAACTAGAGCACTCAATTGCGTTGGAAACCCCAAAGCTGCAGTACAAGAACTGATTATGAGAACGAAGCTACGCGACAGAGTACACAAACCTCAACGTCTTTCAGTTTGAACTCGTCGGCGAATGCCAAACATGTATTGCCGAAAGTTTGAGATTCGCCACTGGAGCCATTCTGCCTGAAAGAAACAGCACCGACCGAGTGAGCAAAATTGCATGGCACACTTATCCACACAAGGAACGCTTACAAATCATTGTCCAGGTAGAGTGCAAAGTGACCACCACCACCTAAAGCCAGCGCCTCGTTGGTACAGAGAACATAGTATCGATTGGCACCTATCACACTAACGTCTGAGATTTGGAAAAGAATGAAACGTATAGAAAGGAAACATCACTTGCCTGTTGAGTGGAACACTTGTGGAGCCCCCGAAACAGTAGTGAAAACGAACGTGTTCGCATCCCCCTGGAAAACCATCCAGGATCAAACACGTTGGAGACACATATCGGCTATAAAGACAAACCTGGTACTTTTTCGTTGTGCTTGGATTCAATGGTGCAGACAAAAGAGCTCCAAAAACAGTCCCTTTAGTGTCTGCCACAGCCTGAAGAATCGAAAACGATGTCAAAGAAAAGTTGCTTGATCATCACTAACAACTAGAAGGGGCTTGGCTATGAAAATTAAATGATTCTCTTCTTACCAATAAGCAGTGGCCAATCACAGTGGAGCTCTTGCGGTACAGTGTAAGCAACGAAATTCCATCTCTCCAAGTGCTGAGCTGATCCAAGGCATGGAAATCGTGGGCAGCAGCGATGGATCGACCACATTACCTGTAGAGGAGAAGCCAATGCCGATGCCGAGCTAGCGTAGGCAGCGCGGAATGTAGCACGGATTGGAGCTCTTGTGAGATCAGGGACGACGACTGTGACATCAATGGAAGGATAATCTGCTCCTGCTGCTCGTCGCGATCAAGATCGCGCGGCTCTCTACCGGAAGACGATGCCAAACCCTTGTCTCGATCCAAAACAACGCCTTCCTCGCGGCGATCGCCGCTCAATCCAGCAACGGGACTGAAGCACGCGAAGATGGAGAAGAGATTCGCGAAAATCCCGCGGTGGCGCTTGCGTCGTCGAGCCGCATTGCCGTGTCCTACCTCGCCCATCCTCAAGAACCCTAAAATAAAGAGGAAGCGCTAGTTCTTCTATGAGGCATGGCGATCTCTCCAAGCGCGCGTTAAGGTATGCTCTTCGTCGAGGCTATGGCTTCTCCACGGCAGCCTTGGAGAATGCAGGGATCACAGACAGCGATGTCCAGCTCCTCTTGCGCGTTCACGGCAAGGCGCTGCTCCGCAAGAGCGCCATGGATTTCAATCCCCCTCTGGTCGCCAAGAGATCTCCGAAGGTTTCCTTGCAGTCTGTGCTAGATTTTCGAGAGGATCAAGCGCTCCAGCAGCAGCAGCAGCACAGGATCGAGCCAGGCGCACAGGCGAAGGGAAAATCTGAGGAGTCGAAAGGAATGGATTTGGCTATTTTTTTGGGAAGTCTCAAGCCCCTCCAGGGCGATACGTCCTTGAAGAAATCGGCGAGGTGGGAGAAGATGAAAGAGAAGGTGGCTCGGCGCAGACCTCCAGTGGTGGTGGTGGAAGAAAAAAATCTGGTTCCACCACCTCTCGAGCTAGAACAAGAGGTGCAAGTCTTTCCGAAAGCTCCGGAAGTTCTTGAAGCTACTGCTGCTACTTCCGCAGTTGTGAACAACCGGATTGATCTCGAGGTGCCGAGCTTGGAATTTGGAAACGAATTCTTCCAGATGGAGGAGACGAAGATCGAATCAAGTCGCTCAAAGATCTCGGTGTTCCTGGAGCGACTCAAGCGAGAGAAGGCGCTGGCTTTGGTTTCTTCGAATGCCAAGGCTGAGGAAGAATCCTTGGTAGAGAGTCCGACAAGAAGGTAGGAACTCAAGCTTCTCGTTTTCTATTGTTTCTAAAGTTTTATGTTCGCAGGGTCTGGACTGGAGGAACACAAGCTAATCTGATCGACCAGGTTGGTTGTTTTTACGCATTTGATTCGCGCTTATAACTCTGAAACTTACAGGAAGTTTTCACCGCTATGCAAGCTCTGGACTCGGCTAACGATATCCACGGTTCGAACATTAGTGGTGGAACTCTCAAAGTTTTGATACGAAGCTTCAGTAATCTGGATGTCATCGAAGGCTCGATCAAAGTTCTCCAGGCAACGAAGGACTTTGGCTTTCTGCCATCGACGACAACGCACAGTCTACTCGTCTGCCTGCTGCTAAAGTCTGGAGAACAAGAGAGAGCCAAGAAGATGCTGGGAGAGTTTCTCTTGGAAGGTTCAAAGCCATCAGCAGGGATCTTTTTTACACTGATCGACGCGTTTGAAAGAGTGGGAAATCTCTCGGCCGTGCATATACTCTTCCTCGGAATGCTCCAAAGCATGGTTCGTGTGAACGCGGACACGACAGAGAAGTTTTTCAGCATTCTTCTAAGGGCAGGGATGGCCGAGCAAACTTACACACTGTTCCAAGAGTACCCGATCACAGGCTCGGACATTAGAGTGGAGACCGGGAATTTTCTCATGGACTGCCTTGGGAAGGCCGGAAAACACAAGTGGTCCGCGAGGATACTGTCACGCATGAGAAGATATCGTATCTCCAACGTCAGCTCCTACAACATCATGATCAAGAACTTGGTCAAGGACTCGGAGCTGACAAAGTCTCTCAAGGTTTTTCACATGTTCGAAACCGATCAGCTATCACCGGACGTGGGAACTTATCACTACATAGTCTCGGGTCTGTGCAAAGCCAACAAGACGAAGATGGCGGCCATGTACTTCGAGGGAATGAAGAAGCTGGGGCTCTTACCGGACACCATGACTTACTCGACCATGATCGACTGCTACGGAAGAGCCGGCAAAGTCAACAGAGCTTTGCAGCTGTTTGAAGAGATGAAGCGGAAAAATGTCCGTCTCGACACCCGCGTCTTCAACTCGTTGCTCCGAGCGGTCGGGACGTCATACAAGCCATCGCTGGTTTACAACATCTTTCGGGAGATGCAGTACTTTGGCCACGTCCCGGACATATGGAGCTACAATCTCCTCTTCTATGGGCTGGCCAGGCGGGGACGAAGGAAAAGGCTTCGCAAAGTTTACCGGGAGATGAAAAGAGATGGGCTCAAGCCGGACATCTACACCTACACAGCGATCATACTTTGCCTTGGCAACGCCGGAAGAACCAAGTCGGCTTACAACTTCATGCAAGGCTTGCTCAGGAAAGGAGTGGAAGTTAACGTAAAGACCTGGAACGCGCTGCTGCGAGGACTCACAAAGGAGGACGTGATCGAAGTGGCGTTTTCGGTCTACAACGACATGAAGGCTCGGGGATTTAAGCCTGACAACACCACTTACAGCCTTCTCCTCGAGAACAGCATCGCATTGAGGGACGCGAAGAAGGTGTATCGGATCCAGAGGGACTTCAGGGACTCCCGGCTGGAGCCTGACGCTCCAATGCAGAAGATATTGCAGCGCTCCATCAGGTACATGAGCAAAGACAGGCGGACTCCTTTCGATCCACAGGTCCTACTTAAGTCCTGAAAAAGGCCAGAATGGTGGTCAGTCTTCGATCTTCCTCACAGGTTCTTCTTTTCCTTCGCTTGTTTTTTCCTTCGCTGACTTTGTCACTGCACAGCAGATCCAAATGTCGAAATCCTCGAAAAAGAAGCAAAAAGAAAACCAAAAATCTGGTACGTTTCTTTTGTCAGGATTAAGAGGTCTCTTCAAGTTTGAAGTTCTAAGTTCCAGGTGCTGCTGCTATGATCCGGCACGAATTACAGTGTTCCACTTAAACAGCGAGGCTTCCCTGATTCACAGCGCAGCATTATGACACACGACGCGGCGACAGACGAACAAACGATGAAGCAGAAGAAAGACGACATTGATTGGCCTCCTCCTGCTCGCACCTTTTCTTCTTCCAGTGGGAGATGATGCTTACAGGTACCAAAAAATCGCTCTCTTTTTTTCGCTCTCATTGCTCAAGCCAAACTTTTTTTCCCACCACCACCGCCTATAAACTCTAAAGTGTGTTTGGTGTGATAGAGAGAAGCTTTTAGATTATTGTCCTTGATCGCGACCATCATCCAGGCTCTGTGAAAAAACAAAGAGAAAGGCTCGCCAACGCCATAGCCAGAAAGCTGTCACGCACATACACACACAGAGTGTGCGCGCTGCTACATTACACTACACTCCAACAGTCAAACAGAGCCGCGAATATCCCGTGCCGAGAGAAGAAATATACCCCTCGCCGTACACGTGTCACGCACCGGGCTCCACCTAACACCCCTTTGCCTTCCGCGCAGCTTCGCCAGACCGACGGAATATCCGCTGGCCGCCCGGATATCCCGACGGCGCGGGGCCCGCACGGTGGCCGCGCGGTGGCCGCGCGGTGGCCACCGCGGTAGCAGTTCCACCATATCTGGTGGCGTGTGAAGGGTGAGGTGTGCCCTCCCCGCGCGGTGTGTGTGTGTGGGTCTTATCCCTTGTGTGTGGTGTGGGGATTTCCCTATGATCGAATACCATGGATGTGTCATCCATCCATCCATAGCGCACCCATTCACCATTCTTGTAGGGAGGCTACCACTATAGTTACTACTACTGGCCCTGGCGCTGGCCCTTAAAAATTGGGCGCTTTTTATGTGGTGCTGTGGTGCCATGTATGTATGTGCTGCAACGCCGCGGGAGCGGGCGTGACACATTGTCTTATGGAATGGCGGACAAGGACACCCACCCCCACCACTATCCCTCCTCCTCTTCTCCACCGCCTCCTCCTCCTCCTCCGCCGCCACATTCTTTGCCCTCATCGTCTGGCGCGGCGCCTTGCTCCTCCTCCGCCACCGCCGCCGCCGCCGCCGCCTCCCAGCGCCACCAGCGCCTCCTCCAGGGGACGAATCTCAAGCAGCAGCAGCACGGCGCCGCGGATCTACGGCGAAATCCCGGTGTGAAGCACGGTGTCGCGAATCACAAGCCCGGCGGGGTGAATCTGCGGCAGACGCAACAGGTTCTTGTCAATCACAGGCAGGATCTTGCGCGGCCCGAGCATAATCTCGCGAAGAAGCCAGCGGCTGGGCAGATTCTCGCGCGGCACGAGCAGAATCTCGCGAAGCAGCCAGCGGCTGGGCAGAATCTCCCGCGGCACGAGCACAATCTCGCGAGGCAGCCAGCGGCTGGGCAGAATATTGCGAATCATAAGCACGGGGCCGGGAATCACCACGGCAAGCTGCCAAAGAAGCCGTCCTCGTCGATCCAGCAGCCGATCGAGGCTAAGAAGGTCCCGGCACCGGTTTCTAGCACAAAGCCCGTCACCAAGCCCCGATCTTCGCGTGACGATGAGGCATCGGCGCTCTCTCCCAAGAAGAAGCAGCTCAAGCTCATTCTTAAGCTCCGGAAGCCTCAGCAGGACGCCCCCGAGCTCCCACCGCCGTCCCAGGGCGTGAGATCTAAGGCCCCGGCCTCGAATGGCGTCGCGTCTACAGGTCTAGGGTCTGGATCTAGCGGGCTCTCCTCGCCGTCAGGGGGTACGAGGTCGAGGCATCCAGAGGCTAGATCGAATGGCACGGCGGCAGCAGCCACAGCAGCTGGAGGGTCCGTGGAGCATCGCCAAAGAACACCGGCAGCCGTTACTACTACCACTACCACTACCAGTGCCAGTGCTAGCGAGTCCATGGAAGACGAGGGCTTGCAACAGCATTCTTCTAGGAAACGAAAGTTTAGAGACGCCTCCGAGGGCACAGGCGAGGAGGAGAAGGTCGCAGCCTCCACAGCCGATGCCGAAGATGGTTCCAAGCGGAGAATGAAGGTATGGCTAGTCGTTTGTGTTTGATCACTTAACTGAGTTTGCTCATCTTAGCAACAGGAGAAAGATGTGAGATTTGTCCCAACACCGACTTCCGGTTAGTTTTACTCTTGGATTTCACGGTTCCGAGAATTAATGGGTGCGTTGCGTCTTCCAGGACTGCTCGAGAATGGTTCTCCTCCACACAGGGTCCTTGAAGAGCTTCTGGAGAGATTCCAAAAGTGAGTTCTGTAATTGTTTCCAATTTTGCGGAGCGAGCATTGCTTATGGTTTCTGGTCTGTAGGAAAGATACATACGGAGTTTTTGCTGAGCCAGTTGATCCTGAAGAGGTCTGTTCATCCGTGTGATATCCCTCATTGCAGGTCGCTTATTTGGTTTCGTTGCAGATACCAGATTACCTGGACATCATCAAGGAGCCCATGGATTTCAGTACGATAAAAAAGAAACTCTCCAAGGGGGCATACGGATCCATTGAGCTTTTTGAGGTGAGAGCTGATATTTCTTCCGGGAACTGTTGACTAATTGCCTCCTATCGCAGAGGGATGTTAATTTAATTTGCAGCAACGCTATGAAATACAACGCTCCGAGAACAATTTATTACAAACAGGTCTGAGCTTGTTAAACTTTCAAACTGATTCTTACAGTTTGCACCGATAATAAACAGGCCAAAGCTATCAAGGACATCGCCCGAAAAGCTTTTGATGTCTTGAAAGGTCGGCTCAATGGTCACCGCAAGGGCCCTGGGAAACAATCCAAGCTAAAGCGGTGTACAACCAGAAGGTTTTCTGAACAGCAAGGCACTGATGTAACGCCCGGGGCTGGCTTAGCGGATGGAAAGAAGGCATCGACCATTGACCGGGTGGCTGATTTATCTCACAAGTCAAATTCTCCATTTCAAAGTTCTGCAAACGATTTCGAATTTCCGGAAGGTATAAAAACGCTGCTGTTTGCGCTTTACTAATCGTATTGATCACCTGTGCGTGTTACTTTCAGGTTCTTTATCAAAAGCTGCCTCTCTCAAGGACGGACGCCGACTACTTACTGTCGATGAGAATCGTCGTCACACTTACCGTCCTCCCGAGCCTTTTGAGGACGCTGTTGTCGCACAAATTGTTCCGGTAAGCATTATTCCCGCCTGCCTCATGATGCTAATAGATTCTGTATTGTAGTCTGGAGTTCAATATGGTGGCTCGTATGCTCAAAGCCTCGCCTTGTTCGGTGCAAACTTCAAGCGTCCGGCCTGGGACTTTGTTGCGAGGAAGATTCGTAAGGTTTTGGCTCCAAATGTTCCGTTTGGTCCCGGTTGGGTTGGAGAGCATGAGAAGTCTTCACGACCTGACTGCTTACGAACCGAGCCCGCGGCACAACAGATTCTTCCAAGGGACGAGGCCAAGGACTCGTCACAGCAACCTCCTGCGATTGAAGTACCATCCAGCATGGCAACTACTTCTGCCAGTGCTCCTGCGGCTCCTGTACAGCTTCCATTCAGGCCGACTGTCTCGAAAGTTTTCGACGTACAACAGCAGCACCAGCAGCAGCACCAGCAGCACCAGCACCAGCACAGGAACGGGGTTCAAAACTACAGGAACGTCGAGGCAGTGGCCCAGCAGCAGCAGCAACAGCAGCAGCCACAGCAGCAGCTAAAGAAGCCGCCCGCGAGGTTTCCTCCTCCGCTCCAAAGAGATCATCCAGGCGGTAGTGCCGCAGCTGAGAACCAAGCCGAGGCAAGCAGGTATCCAGCTCCAGCACCTCCTAAGTTTGGTCCAAACGGTAGCGTAGGATTTTCAGGCATGGACGCGTCGAGGGGCGCGTGGTCGCTGCAGAAAGCCTTGGGGGTCCAGGAATCAGGCGCAAGGGACAAGAGCAGCAGCAGTGGCGGTGGTTTGCCGCGAGTGTTTGGACAGGAGCATGCGAATCCAGGCCGGTCCAACGCCGAACAAGCGGCGGCGGCATCCGTTCCGTCCACCATGGCGTTCCATGGCTTGTCAGCGTACGGTAACAGCAGCGGCAACGCCACGAGCGCCGGGGGCCCGTTGTTTGGAATGCCGGGGCTCGGCGGCCAAGGCATGATGGCGAAACAATCTGCTACCGCAACACCACCACAACAACCGCAACAGCAACAACACCACCACCAGCAACAGCAACTGAGGCCGGACATGAACGCGAGCAGTGCCGATTTTTTTAGGCAGCAAAGCCATGACTTCCACCTCAAGGAGCAGCAGCAGCAGCAGATGGGGGTGTACAACGCGATCTCGCAGTCCCTGTTGCAGCCTTGGAAGTCTCAGAGGTTTCAACCGCAGCAGCAGCAGCAGCAGCAGCAGCAGCAGCAGCTTCACCACCTTCACCAGCAACAACAGCATCATCAGCAGCAACACCAACACCATCACAATCAGCTGCAGCTGAGACCGCTTCCTCCGGATTTGAACGTTCGCCTCCAGTCTCCGAAGTCCCCACAGCACCAGGCTCAATCCCAACTCTTGCTGAACTTACAGCAGCAGCAGCAGCAGCATCAACATCAGCAGCAGCAGCAGCAGCAGCAACACCAGCAGCCAGATTTGGCTTTACAACTGTAATCTGAGGGTTCCTCCTCTCCTCTTTTTTTTTTTCTTGTCATATTGTACGGTCCTGTATATAGACCAATCCGCCGTTTTGTCCTCCTGGAAAACGCAAAGATGATGTCTTAGTCTCTTTTTTTTTTCATAAAAAATGTCTGCATAAGAAATATCTTTTAGTTTATGATTTAACGGACCTTACATGGCAAATGATACTATACACGCTTTATTGTCCAACCAATGTGGTTATTGACAAAACACAGTGCTGTCATGACTCGTCCTCCTTGCCCAGATTCACAAACGATAGAGGTTGGAATTTGTAGCCGTCGCCAACGTAAAACTTGTTCATAAATTCCACCCAGTGGAGACGAAGCGCGTGGAGGAATGCGCTCAATGTTTCCATTACCAGCAGAACGCCAACCGTGGCGCACACGAACACGATGAAGCCAATCAATATGATGAAGATGTTTTGATACCTGCGATGAACAGAGATTTTAATATTCGAAAGATGGCAGCGATCTTATACTTACCCCCAGGCGAGCAGCAACACTTTCTCGTAAAACACGGCCGAAAGTTCTGCATGGGCCAAACTGCAACGAAGAAAAACGTGTCAGGAGGCTTCCCAAAGTCGCCGGAAGTCGGGATTGTTACCTCAATGCCCACAGACGAAGATACGATGCGGTGTTTGAGACAGCCCCCAACACAAACTCGATCGTGTGTATCAACTGATGTACGAAAATCTCGCTGAACTCAAACTCTTCATGCTCTTCGTCCGGATGCTCTTCAAGGCCGGCGTAGCCTTCTCCTTGCGTCTTCTGCCAAAGACAATAATGAGGAACAAGACATCCAACAAGCGCAAAAGCACCTCGAGGTGTTGCTTTCGGAGAATCAATGGTTTTGGAAGAAGCATCCAAGGAACTGATATCAGCGCAATAAACAGCAGCGCCAGCTGTGCAAGTTGACAAGCTCAACAAAACCGAACTGAAAAACAAACTCGACGACAATACCTGGAAGTACTTCTGGCCCGCAAACAGCTGATTCCCGTCCAGGTCATCTGTCGGGCCTAGAAACATATAAATCATGACATGGTATAAGTCGGCCTGCGATCCGGTGATCCACTTTAGAATTATTAGAAAGGATAGGTAGCCGAAGAGCGAGCTGAGGAAAAGTATCTGCGGTATAAACTGAAACCTGCAAAGTAAAGAATTTTAGAACTACTGTTTGGACAATCTCACGAGCTTACCAGATATCGAGCGGCTGAGCGAAGTATACAGCGTTGAACAAACTGAGAACGATACCCAGCAACATCTGAGCGACTCCAAGAATAATGGACATCTTCATCTTCAAAGAATTCAAAAAAGGTAACTCGCTGCGACTGCCATGCCAAACAGGATCCACGCCGAACGCATAAGGCCTATCACGGTATTTTACCAAGCCTACTGTGGTAGATTCACTAGAAAAAAAGCGGTAAGAAAGAGAGCTCGACATGGTAGAAAGATATATACCTGCAAGACGGAGTTTCACACTTGTATGCAGAGCGTCCAAATATTTCGAAAGGTACAGAGAAAAATTCGTTGTAGATGAAGCCCGTATAGATTGAGAAAAGAGACATGAGAAGCAGCACGTATCTACCGGCAAATGCCATTTCCATGATGTCTCCCAGTTTCTGTTTTTAAGCTCAGAATAAAAGACTGAAGAAGAGGAAAACCAAACGAACCTGACTTCCAAGTCTCCTCTCGTTTACAAGCAGCCAGAGAGTTGCCAGGAGCAAGACAATTCCGTGACCCCAGTCCCCAAACATGACCGCGAATAGAAATGGAAATGTCACGATGGTGAAAACTCCCGGGTTTGCTTCTTGATATCTTCCAACACTGGAGGCCAAAAGACCATAAGACTTTTGTCAGCCAATAATGGTTCACAATCTTACCCATATGCATCCACGATTTCCTGGAAGGCTGACGTGAATTTATTAACTTGGAAATACGTTGGTGGAGCCTCCTTTGTGTGAAGAACTTGGAAAATGGTTGTGACTTGCGAGTTCGTTTCAACTGTTGCATATCGCAATGTGTCTTGGATCTGAGTAGCCAAGAAAGCTGAGAACTGGAAAGAAGCAAATATAAAATTAAATCACTTACGCGTGGTAAAGCCCCCAACGGAGACCAAGCCTCACCAACAAGGCACTTGCTCGTCACGTCCATACTCAGCATGTTTAGCGCATTATAAACGTATTTATCTTTCAGAACCATTTCGAGCCAGAGTTCCAGCTGATAGCCTATTGTTTTCAGCACGGTTTCCCGATGGTCACTACTAACATCGAGAGTTGTTTGCATCTCAGACAGTCTGGCTGAAACCTGCCAACAGTAATCACGTTAAATCAAGTTATGATACGCGCAGCCAAACCTCTATTCTCATTTGACGTCTTTTAAGAGTTTCTTCTGGGAAAGGGTACCGGTTGGCTCCAAAAGCATCGCAAATCTTCAAAATTTTGGTACGTGATCTTTCACCGGAAAAGAAGACCAAAAACACGACTTTTTCCACCTGAGTGAGGCTCATAGTTAGAACAAGACGATTATCACAGCATTAGCAACACACCTGGTCGCCGGTGGCAGGATCACTAACTCGCTCGTCAAGTGGTACGCATTTGTAAAACATATTGCCACGAGTGGCTCTGAAGATGATACGCTCGAATTGGTTGGCTTTATGTTTTGGAATAACGCCAGCGATAAACCCGACTTTTAGTTTTTTGCTGGGCTCGACTTGCATTTCCTGCAGTAAGTCGATAAGATAATCACAACACTGAAACACAAAAATTACCCGTTCTAGCAGCGGACTCTCAATAGACTCGCCACCACTGATCGACTCGTCCTCCCTCTGTTGCGAATTTGCATTTTGACGCGCACTCTCAAAAAATGCACCGGCCTGCACGAAGTTGACATCACCATTTAGAATTACACACGCTATGGCGTACCTTGTCCAGCACGAGAAGGAACTCCGTAAGTTCATTGCGGGTGCGCTTCAACTTCTCGAGGTTGGAGTTCACTTCCCTGAATTCTGGCTCCAGTTCATTGATTTTCACCTGTAAATGTCGTGCCAAAATTAAAAGAAAGGAAAATAAGGGGTAGGCATTCCATTGCTCATACCTCCAACTCATCGAAGTTGAGATCGCTCTCTACAGCCGACGGCGTCGGTGCGAGTCCTGATTTTTGGAGCTGGTCCGAGAAGTACTGGAGTTTGCGAAGCATCTCATCGCAGCGTTTCACCTGAAATACAACATAGTCATCGACTTACAGATATATACGTCGAAATGAATGAGAACAAACCTGGTTAGCGTAAGTTCTCTGAAAGGGGCTTTTTTCCGGGTTAAGCTGCAAGAACACATCAAATAACGTGAAATCTTCCAATCCCTCAGCTCATTCTATCAAATCCTTACATCTTTGAATTGGAGGGCTCCCAATTCCGCCAAATGCGTGAGCGTGCCGTGGGCCGATTCCACCGGGATGATGAGCTGCACAAGCGTCATATCCTCGGACCGAAACAGATGCATCTTCGGCATGTCCAGGCCCATGGCTGCCCGCCGCGACACCGAAATCCTCGATCTAAATCTAGAAACCTACTCCCTCAGCTCGAATTTCAGATCAAATTCCGCATTGGAATCCCCCTCGCCGCGTCGGAGCTCCGCGCTCCGCAAACCCTAATCCAGTATAGCTCCAGCACAAAACCCTAGAAACATGTGCCACGAAGCAATAAAACATGGCCAAAATAAAATAGATCCAACTTGCCAGATTCGAACTAGCGACCTAAGGATATCTGCAACACATTACAGTCCTCCGCTCTGCCAACTGAGCTAAAGTCGGATACGCAATCACGTTGAAAGGCTACAACATTATTCTTTGTTTAAATGGCTTTTTCGTGATCAGAGAATAGTCAATCTCAAAGAGTTAAATCCAATAACTCTCACCTCCAAAGAAACCATTCTCACTCTCCATGTTCCTCATCGTCCTCGTAACCACTTGACATGACTAAGTACTGATTGGGGCACCTTCGTCACCGCTCAGGTTGGCCAGTACACCACATTCCATCCAAGTGATTAAAATCCAACGGCCCTAGGGCTTAGGGTTTATCCACTGCGCGCCTCGTAACGCATTAGCGGCAAGAGTTTCCTGTTCTCACGGCTGGTATGCTCGGCATTCCTGCCTTCCATTGCCCCAGATGGGATTTTCGAGCCAGGGGAATTAGATCGGGCGGGCCTAAAACCCGTGCTCTTCCGCTAGCAGTAGATTCCAGCCAGGGGGATTGGATTGCATGCTCTTCTGCTAACAGTCAGGCACTAGAAGATGGTTTCGAAGGAAAGGGAAGAAAGGAGTGGCTTTGAAAGCCTCGACTGCGAAAGGCCGACAATGTGATGAAGAAGCCTCCTGCGAGAAAATCTAAACGGACAGCAAAGCCGCAAGAAGAGAACCAGGATCCGCCAGGGAAAGATAAGAAAAATGCCAGATCCAAGTAGCAACCGGTGGCTGTGGAACAAAAGCCCAGCGGCACTACAAATGCCGCAAAGAAGCCTCCCAAGGGATGAAAAGATGGTGGAGATTCGAAGTAAGTCCTCAAGAAGCAAGAAGAAGGCTGAAGGAGTAGAAGCCATCGCCTGGCACATTCTTGAGACGATTAAGCTCGAAGCTATCATGAAGAAGGAACTTAGTAAATCCGCTGAAAGGGTCCAGTCTGTGGCTGGCCGGGAGAAGGAGATCGAGAGCTCCTCGAGAGTACCGGACGGTGGACGCAGAGATTTCTCCAGCATGAGCTTTCCGGCACGGCTTGTGAGCTACAACGGCGACGAACTGGATCAGTTCTCGCTCACTGCTGTTCCTGCTGCCAACTACATCTCAAAGAGCTCCCTCAAAGTCCACGGCATGAAGAATGAAGGAATGCTCCGGGCCCATACATCACATCCTCTCTACAGCAACACACCCTAATTGCCACACCGGAAAGCTCAAGCTCACGAAGTTTAGACCCAGATACTTCCTCGGCTGTAATCGCTATCATTCGTGCCACTACAACAACGACGAGGAAGAGGAAGAGTGCGGCTCGCCGGTGGTGAAATCCAGGAGCAAAGTTTTCGATTCCACCATGGGACTTCCGTCTTGTACAAGGAGGGTCCATCAGCTGCATGGCCGTCTCCAATGTAATGACGTCATAGTTTATGCTCTCGGGTACCCTCACTCGAGTATCCCAAGGAGCTGGAGTGGATCCGAAAGGAAAGCCGGTGATGATCGGGATTGGGAGGTTTGGGTGTTACATCTGGAAGAAGCCTACTCGATTTATGTCCCAAAGGATCAAAAGTTGGAAGAAAGATGGCGCTGCACATTTTTGTGAAACGAAGGAAGATTGTTGCAAGGTGAGTAAGGAACTTCATTTTTTTCCTCCTCCTGTCACATGATGTAAAACAAATCTGGCTTTGCGAATCACTAATGTTTCCAAAGCCTGTTTTTTCTTAATAGTTTGAAAGTCCTATCCCTATATGGGCACATGCATTTTGGACGATGAAGACTGACGAAGACTGCATGAGCGCTTTCCGGCCCATGCGTTTTTTACATGCCAAGGTTGCTCGGCATAAAAAGGAAAGCATTTCGAGCAGAGCTTCGTGGCAAAGAGAAGAGAAGAGATTTAGTTCATTGCAGGCATGGGAGGGGCTCTTGTTCTTGGTGCTTATGTTATGCTCGGCATTTCAGCTTGTATACAGGCATAGGAAATGTATGAGCTCCAGGCTTTGCTTGCGTTTAAAGGAGGTTTATCAAATCACACTGCTCTATCCGGCTGGACAATGGAAAATTCTCACAATCTCTGTGTGTCCTGGGAAGGAGTGACCTGCAGTAATGTTACTGGTCACGTTATAATGCTCGATTTGGGGGGTCTCAATCTCGAAGGAATAATCAGTCCGGAAGTATCCAGGTTGAAAAATCTGGAGGTGCTTGACCTCTCTTTGAATAACCTGGTTGGCCCTCTACCAAAAGAGTTTGGAATGATGAAGAAACTGAAAACGTTGTATTTGCCATGTGAAATTCCGGAATTTATTGGCAATTTATCATCGCTCGAAGTTATTTGGGCTGACATTGCTATTGGAGGAATACCCAGGTCAATTGGGCAGCTAACAAACCTACGTCATGTTGAAATTTCCTTTGGCTATATTTTTGGGTCAATTCCTGAGGAGCTTGGTAACTGCAGTAAGCTGGAGGAGATATACATTCATGCTCATAACATTTTTGAAGGTTTTATAGCACTTCCACCTCATCTCAAAGTTTTGTCTTTGAGGCATTTGAATGGTACTGCGCCAATCCCAAAAGAAATATGGAACTCGACTCATTTGGAGGAGCTTTCTCTAATAGATTGCTCCTTGACAGGCTCATTACCACCACAACTTGGTGTTCAATTTAGAATTCTGGATTTGTCCTACAACTTTCTATCAGGTGATATTCCATCATATTCAAGTAATCGCCAGAGTTTAGATCTGAGTTACAACATGTTTTGTGGCAACATACCAGTCAGCTTAGGACAAATGGGAGGACTAACGAACCTTGACCTTAGCAATAACAGGTTCACGGGTAATATACCAACTAGCGTGGAGCATTTATCAAATTTAAGTGACCTTTCTTTGGGTAGCAATTTGTTGACTGGTGCTATACCAATGAACTTAAGGCAGCTATCGAATCTTGACTTGCATAACAACAGCTTAAATGCCACCTTACCAAATTTCTTGACAACAACTTCAATTCAAGAATTGTATCTATCACGGAACAGATTCAACGGACATATGCCACCCATTTCAAGGGAGGTGCACCTCCTAAATTTGGCAGAGAACATGCTCACTGAGGAAATGCCCAAGAGTTAGTCCTGGGTTTTCATGTGCTTTGCGGTTCTTGGATGTGAGCGGTAATGGATTAGTTGGGAGTTTGCCAAATTGGCTTAAGGACTGCACTCATCTATTATTTTTTCGGGTTGATGATAACTCTTTGAGTGGAAAGCTTGCTGCAGATGTCTTCAAAAACATGACAAGTCTTGAATATATTTCACTCTCACATAACAAATTTAACAAATTTGAAGGTGAGCTACCAGAAACTCTATCACAACGAATATGGTACATTATCATCAGTGATAACAAATGTTTTTGGAAAATTCTTTCATTTCTTTCACATTTCAAAAATCTCAATGTTGAGCATGGGTGGAAACAACTTGCATGGACCAATACCTGATTGGTTGTGGAACATGACCAAGCTTCATGTCCTTGACCTCTCACGCAACAAGTTTGAAGGATGTCTTTCAGGGTCTATAAGCCAATTAGGTGGATTCAAATATGACAATCATAATTCTCCACAATGGAGACCATTAATGCTTATGGTGAAAAGAAGAGAACAGGAATTTCCATATTTCGATCCATCAAATACCATCCTTGATCTGTCATCCAACCAATTGATAGGAGTGATTCCTTCAAGTTTGGGTGAATTGGTTGGACTCCACATCCTCAATCTCTCCAATAATCACTTTTCTGGAAACATTCCCTAAACTCTAGGCAAGATGGTACAGATAGAGCAGTTGGACTTCTCTTTCAACAATATTAGTGGACCCATCCCCAACATGCTTCAAGAACTTCATTCACTGTGATTTTTTAATCTTTCATTCAACAGGCTAGAGGGCAAGATTCCATTTGGCCCCAGGCAGATGAGCACATTTGACAAGTTGAGTTATTTGGGAAATTTAGGCTTATGTGGAAAGCCATTTGACAAAGAGTGTCTCCGCAATAGCAATTCCACCTTGGTGGTTTATGAGCACTTCAACAGCAATAACAACTGGTGGCAAGAAAATGTGTCATTGTGGGCATTTACACTTGGCTTCACTATTTTGTTAATTTCACTTATATAAACATGCATATTTGAAGCATATATACAAGCATATTTACGAGGGGTATACAAGCATATTTACGAGGGGTTAAGGCTTGTGGATGAAAATGTTGTTTAGCCTTGACGTGCTCCATCGAATCATCGACTAGTAACAAGTAGAATGGAAGCTCTCAAGCTCGTTCTCAGTTGCTTCCATTGGCTCAGGTAGGATATCGTGTGGGATTTTGGGGAGGGAGAGCCAGTGGTGATGGGCGATTGGCACAAATCCATGCTTATTCTTCCGCTAACAGTAGAGATGGGGCTGAGAATGTGATGAATCTCTAATGTGAGACTGACACCAGCAAAAGATAAGAAAAATGCCAGATCCAAGCAGACGGTGATTGGCTGTGGAAAATAAGCCCAGTGACACTGCCAACGCTGCAAAGAAGAAGGAACGAAACAAGATGTCACATGGTGAAAGCAATGAAGCCAAGTAGAAGATGCAAGACGCTCTCACCTGCGCAAGAGTTACGAATGGGAGGACACACCGGTTTGGCTGCTCTCAGGTACCTGGGACAAGGCGTGGAGCTGGTGTTGAAGTTGGAGTTCCAGAATTCGAGAACTGGATCGACCTGGTGCCTGGGAGTTTTCAAGAGACAAGGGTGGTAAGAGATCATGGACGAACAAGTTATGGCAGGTAGAACAGGACCAATTGCAAAATTCACTTTTACTGGTGTGATGATTGATGGACGTCTCGCCGGACATGGCACAGTTGTATATCTCTTCTCACGTTGGTGCTGAGAACTTTGACGCAGCGAAGCTAGTGACAGTCGACTTGTGCAGCTCCACAAATCGCTCTGCCTTTGGGCTCAGCAGCATTGGGCAAGGTGTGTGCTTCTGCAACTTTTCTTTTCTCTACATCTTGGACTGTTTTTCACCTCTGATTCTTCACAGGCATGCTCAAGCATGACAATGAAGATCTTTGAAGTGACGTTTCCAATAATGCAAAGCAGCTGGTCGTCCGTGCGACACAGTTTCTAAAGGCTATTGTAGATTTCCACCAAGAAGAAATTGGCCAAGTAAGTTCTTCTAAATGTAATATTGGTTTTGAAAATGTTTGGTCCTCATCCAGGATTCCTTTGATGAACTCCATTTCGTTCCCACGACATTGTGATACTACGTGGAGGGCCTTCAAGACCTTGAGATCGACTATCCTCAAGCGTTACTCCAAGAGACTTATCCTTCAACAGATCACAAACGATCAACGAGTATCAACTGCCATCGACTCCTCGAAAGAGACGATAGAACAACGGGCTGCTCTCACGGGAAAGGTGGTGGCAGTGGGGGAATCTCCTGCCAAGGCCAAAACGATAGAGACGTACCAGGAAGAGAACACCAGAAGCGCTCCAAAACCGAGAGCGTGTTTGAGGCGTGGTGGCCCAAACTGATGGCAGACGATCTCTGTGCGTTTTCACGAAGTTGTGGTGACTTCTTCCTGAGATGAGAAACTTTCCTTGCGAATCAACACTTGCAAGCCGTGACACTCGTTTGCATGCACAGCTTTGGGTGGAAGCAATCCTTTGCGTCGAGGTTTGCTCTTATCAGCTTTCCTGTCCTTGCTGACTCCAAGACTTTGGTAACTTGGAGGGGAGGACGACGCACACTCCAAGCAATGGCCGACTTCGAGGAACACGTTATAGTCTCAATTGACATCACAGGTAAGATCTTCCTCGTCAGATGTTTTCTATACGCACAGGGAGAAAAAAGAACGCTTTTCTTCTCTCGCTCAGGTGGAAGTTGTCAATTGCGAAGACGGAACACGGGAGCTGCAAGCTGAGAAATGTGAGAGGCGTTGGAAGTACTCGCCAGCCGGATCAAAACAGCACTCAAGGGAGCACAGGGGATGGTTCTAGTTTCTGAATCAGACAGAGTAGACAGGAAGTGAACCCGGAAGATAAGCCAGGAGTTTGTGGACGCGAGCAAATCCGCTGCTCTGGTGGAGGAGATCAAGAGCTTTACTGGAACGTGGACGCAGAGATTTATCCGGCGGGCAAGTGAGCTTTCCGGCATCGTAAAGCTTCTGCACCACGAGCATCTTTTTGGAAGCAAGGTTGGAGGACGGTCCGGCTCAAGCCATCGAGAGCATTCAAAAGAGAGATATGGCAAGAACACTGTCCTCGGAAGTTTTGGTCCAACTCGAGACCGACAGGCATCAAGAGTCTTCCATCGGACCTGGCGAATGTTTTGGAGCAGAATGCGTTGCAGCTGTATGCTCTCGTCTGGAGGAGAATGATGGCGTGTCAGCTCGTGTTTAATCACGTCTCTCTGGACGTGGAGGACCCGTGAGGCTCCGATCGACAGCCTAAATCATGGCGTTGGTGGTGGCTTTCAGATAGTCTACAGGGACAAAGACGCCCTCGCTGGTAACAATGAAGACGAAGAATCACCCGTGCTTCCATCTCATTGAGTTCAATTGGCTGTAAAGTTGTGTTACACAGGCACTTAAGGTCAAGAGCCACATGCGATAAAGTTCGAGCTTTGTGCTTAAGGTAGGAGAAAACATTTTTGTAAATATTACACCTCAAGGACTTGGAATTTATTACTTGAATTGTAAAAATGTGGCTACCCCGAGTAGCCTTGGAACAGAACCAAATGATAATTGAATATGCCTTCTTAAGAAGTGAAGAACACAAGGTCTTGTTGCAACGGCTGAACAAAACCAGAAATTAGTTTGTCGTCAAATACCTTAAGGTTTAGTACCTGGCAGACAGGGAGATCACGCAAGAGTCTAAATGACGTAGAATTCTCTTGGATCCCATGTTTCAAACAAAATAACGTAAGTGTCAATATTATGGCATGTGTGCTACTGCCATAATAGTTACAGCTTACGGCCAGGTCAGTATGCGAACAAGCCCCGGTTACTCCTCTTTT